TTTCAGCGTGAGAAATACACGGTGTGGCGTGTGAGCGTGTGAACTGGTTGAATTGCGTGTGTCTCACGGCCAATGCGTGAGACTTGAGAACCCTGTATATATATATATATATATAGGCTATATATATATATATATTGAGAGATAGATAGAGAGAGAGAGAGTGAATGTATGCTGTAACTGCTCTCCTCTATAAACAGTTCTTATCAGTCGCTTTGGTACATTTCTTGAATCATCCTTAAGATTTGCAAACAAGGAAAGTGCATTTCGTACAAACAGCAGAACACAATAGGATTACATGACAGCATTTTGACATTCTTGTTTGTGACACAAGGCACTGATATGTTCATTGATATATATTGTACTAAGGATTTTTAACAAGTTACAGGCTTTTGATGGTTGTCAATATAACTGTATCAGTATTTTGAGAAGTAAACACTGGCTACGATTTTGATGACAATGAAAAGACTGCACATTATCTGTATGACACATAAACACATGTACCCATTATGAGACTGGACTCACAGATACACTGTTGGTCTGTTAAAAAATGACAATGCCATTGCGATGAACAGACTATTCAAACACATACTGTATATGTGTGTGTGTTACATTATGTCTCTATCAAGTATATTTATATAGCGCTTTTCACAATATAGATTGCATCAAAGCAGCTTCACAGTATCAATCAAAACATAATAACAATGTTCGTTTCTTAGTGGAAAAACATCCACGTTTGGTAGAGCTGATCAATGGTATTAATGATTGGTTAATTAATTTGAATATCCCCAACTGAGCAAGCCAAAGGCAACAGTGGCAAGGAACCGAAAAACTCCATCAAGTGACCCGATGGTGTCCTAAAACTCCATCAGGGACCCAATGGAGAAGAAAAAAACCTTGGGAGAACCCAGGCTCAGTGGGGGCCAGTTCTCCTCTGGCGTTTATGAACTAGAGGCCGGATTTACAGTAACTGCAAGGTAAAAATGTATATGAATGTCTCTAAACAGACTTTAAACGTGAACCTGTGATTAACGCTGATGGCGTTCACATGCGCATTAAGAATTGATTCTATAGTTATGTGCGTTTGAATATATGTGCGTAGGTTTGTATTTCCCTAGAAAACCATGCCTGAACAAATTACTTGTCTATAAATTTGATACATAATTTTGTTTTATTTTATCACTTCGGGGTAGGTACGCGAAACTAGATTCACAACGCTTTATCTGTAGAGTTTATTGTTTATTGTTTATTATTTAGATCCCCATTAGCTACTCCATTAAGCAGCAGCTATTCTTCCTGGGGTCTTAACAATTTTTCAACAAAATATTAACATCAAGGCTGTACAACAATGAAGACAAATACAGAAGTGCACACAACATCATTTAAGATATCTAATTAGTGGGAAAGGGATCTCTATCACGTATTTTTACTGTCTCATGTAAAATGCAAGTAGACTCCACTGTAATACAGTAAGTCTACAGCTTATGGTGAACAGTACAGTATAGTGAACACTGTCTGATTACACGCATGTTCTGTCTATAAAGACTTGAATGTTTGAGGACACACACGGTTGTTCTCCCAACATTCAGCTCAGCTTTCAACCCGCCTCGGCCATGAGGTCATGAACATGATCTACAATATTGGCCCCTATTTCTTCAGAAACCTACAATCTCTCTGTTTTACCTCTGTATCCTTCCACCACACATCCTTACTCCTCCTCTTCTTCTTCTCGGCTGTTACCCTGTTGTTCTTCCATTCTCAGAGTGTGTATGTGTTGTGCTCTGTCTATATGGCTTCCAGAGGAAGCTTCATGAGATGCACTCTGAGCGATTATAGAGAACTGGTGATCATTGATTGATCTAATGCTTTACATTCCCCTTCATTAGTGAAATTCAAAATTCACATCTGCAATTCAGGACAAAAAAAGTATAATAGAATTGTATAGAAAATATGTTTGACAGTTTATGACAACTAGTAATTTAATGCCTATATGTTTTGAGGGGTAAGACTATTCAACAGAGAACCAGTATAATACATTTTGATCAACATGACATAAGCAATTGATAATGTAAGAAACAGCAGACACTTACATTTATTGCATGAATGTACCAAAGCATTTGCAATTTGTTCAAAAGAATGATAAACTGCTTTCATGATGTGCACAAGTGACTAGATGATGTGGAGGTTGAACAAGAATTTTAGTTGTGATTTGAGAAATGCACCAAAGCGCCTTAAAAAAACGTATGTAATTAGTGTAAACATTTAATTAATATAATAATATAATATGAGAATGTTTCATGCAGCTGCTCTCCTCTATATAATATAATATAAAATAATATAATATATACTACAAAGAGAATGTTTGCTGTAACTGCTCTCCTCTTTATATAATATAAAATAATACAATGCAATATAATATAATAAGAATAATGTTTGCTGTAACTGCTCTCCTCAATATAATATAATATAATATAATATAATATATAAAGAAAAAAGTTAGCTTGTTTGCTGTAGTGAATGTGTTGCTGTGGTAACTGGTAACGGAGTCCTGCTCGTGCGGGGGGTGGGGGAGGGGCGGTGGCCGCTCAGGGAAATCACTGATATTATGAGAGGAAACGGCAGAACGCAAAGTAGGAGAAAACACTTCAAACAAATAAAATCACTCATAAAAGCAAGCGATTTAGCATGTTTTCACATCTTTTGGTGGCTTGTGTGTTTTTATTAAACAAACTTGGATGAATAAATCATCACATCCATATTGACAGATTTAAACAGCTGTTCCTCCGCTTTTGGAAGAAAATATGTACTTTGTAAATTCACATGACGTAATGTCTCTGTCTCTTCCCCGCTTCAAACTCGTTCCTACATGATTAATAAACTCCTATGTAAGTTACTGTACAGCTGTATAGTCTCGGTGACGCGCAGCAGCGCGATCTTCACACACACATAACGTTACACAGAGCAGACTCCGATGCGAGAGCAAAACTGCGAGGATTAAAGTTTAATAACATGCCCATATACATCGTGAGAGCTCCTGCTGCTCAGGGTAAATTAGTCTATTTTTATTTAAATAATAATTATTGCGAATTTATCTATTATTGAATGTGGATTATCTGTTAATTCATTCATAATAATGATATCGCCTCCGCTCCGCCATTTTTGTTGATGACGTGATGGCCTCAGATTGGTCAGATCATTAAGTCCCGCTCTCATAGTGGCTTCCTGCGCTCTGATTGGTCAGAATCCCCGAAGTGTGTATCTTTTCCGGAAGTGCAGTACTCCTAGAGGGCGCTGTGTTATACACACTTTAGTGGGGGGGCATACACACTTCACATACACAAATCACTTAAAACTGATTTTTTGGGACAAGTGAGATTTTAAGTCTGGACACCATTTTAGAGTATGCTGAATGCCATTATATAGTCAAACAAATGAGGACATACAAAATGTCCTCAATTTTTGAGGTGGTCCTCAGTTTACTGGTGTGTATCCTGGTGAATGTACCCAAAAGGGACATAAACAAACACACAAGCGCACACACACACACACACACACACACACACACACACACAAGGCAAGACTGACACACATGGCAAACAAACACGACAAAAGCCATGTGCTCACACAAACCCACTGGACAGAAGAGCACATGGCAGACAAACACGCTCATCCGCCATGTGCCCAAACAGAAAACAAGACTCAAGACAAACAGAAGTGCACAGAGCATGGATGTCAGGACCCCGACACCGAAACTGAACCAAGCCTAAGTGTCAGAATCCATACACCATGCCCCGAACATGCAAGGCACAGACATAAGAGCGCACGGCCCAGAGAACAACCCCAAAGCCGTACGCTCACACAAACACATGAGTGTCAGGATCCTGTCACCAAACTAAGAACAAGAACAATCAAGGTGACAGGACCTGGACATTTTCAGCATCATTACTCCAGTCTTCAGTGTCACATGATCCTTCAGAAATCATTCTAATATTCTGATTTGCTGCTCAAGAAACATTTATTAGGCTATAACAGTTGTACTGCTTAATATTTTTTGTGTTCAAATGCACTTTATTTGAAATAGAAATATTTTGTGACATTACAAATGTATTTACTCGCTGAAAAATAATGGCTTTATCCAAAGCCATTTACAAATGCTGTAACACGTAAGCAATGTATCATAAAGGTTCCAGCTATAGACCTATTATATTGTATATGGAAAATATATATTAGGAATTGACCAATGTGGGTTTTTCAATAACTGATGCTCATGCCGACAACAACATGAGCCTTTGAATATTAGCCAAGCGCTAATGTAGAGGTTGGAGGCAAACTAGCGTCCAGCATGGAAAGTGATGTCAGCTCATAGCACAGGTGGGATGTGGCTAGTGCCAGACTGAAGAATGACTTTGGCTTTAGACCTGATAAATACAGTGACCATATCAAACTCTGGTCACCAATTCAATTCCAAATATCTAACAATTATGTAGTACATATTCATAATTGTGTAAAATATGATATTTTATGTACAACTGCTTAAAGAAATTCACATTGCTCAAATTGTACCACATTGCCTAATATATTGGAAATTGATGATTTACAGCAATACAAACAGATTAGTTTGATAGTTTTTTTTCGAATCTCGGGATCAGGATCTCCATCACACTAAAAATAGAGGTTCAAAACCCAGATACATTTTACATGTTTCAGCAATTAAAAATGGTTTGCATTGTGAAAGCACAAACTGGCATTTGACAAGAACAATAGCACATTATTTTGTATCCAATCCAGTTTCATTCATACTGCACATTTTTAAGAGTGGCTTAAGGGGCCGCTGTGGTGTGATATGGATTGCCGTACTACCACTGTACAGCCGGGGTACTTTATTGTGGTACATTTGTTAGTTGTGTCACAGTTTCTTTCTTTGTACTTTTTATCAGGACTTAAGCTAGTATTAAACACACAATCCCACAGTTTCACTGAATGTTCCTCTGGCAAAATTAAGCTGCTTCTTTCTGTTCTATGTCCGGCAGTGAGCTCATTAGAGCACCAGATGGAGGCCAGATCTCTCTGGATTGGTTTGACAATGATGACAGCACATCCCACCCGGACCAGTCCACGCGACCCACTGTGCTGCTGCTCCCGGGACTGACGGGCACAAGCCGCGAATCCTACATTCTACATATGGTACAGCAGAGCCGGGATATGGGATACAGGTGAGCAGCCTAGTTCACGGCCTTTCATTTAAGGGCCGTACACACCAAGGACGATAACGAGTCCTATTACGAGGATAATATACTATATTACTAATATACTATAACGAGTCCACACCACAACTATTACGATAACGGCAATCGTTTTCAGAGCAATTCGCCTTTGGCTAAGCCACACCCTAGAATGTAGATTGACCAATCACAGCGCAGCCAAGAACGAGCTCCCACAGAGGTCCGACACTTTTTCACAGAGCTCCATTGACTTTAACACAGGCGTCTCATATTTTTGGTCTCGGCAGGCTATTACCGTCGTAGTTTTATCAAAAATATGGTTAAACGTTGTGCCTGGGGCATTTGTAACACAGATACACGTTTCCCAGAGAGGTTGGAGGGGGGTGAGCGTTTTTTTTCCCTTCCCAAAACCGAAGTCAAATCCTGACAAGTGTCGTCTTTGGATTAAACTGTGTGGACGTCCTCACAGTCAGCTAAACCCCTCAAGGATCAACAAGCACACTTTTTGCTAACCAAAACATCACCTTGTCAGACTCAGCTAACGTTAACGTTACCTAGCATACCGGTTGTTGATACGCTAGTACACACTGCTAATAAATACAACGTTATACTCGCGTAGTCCGTTTGCTTTGTAATAACGATTATAGAAGTGAATAGAGACCTACCCAGCTTTGCATGAACAGTGTTGCTCCTTGATATTGTTAGTCCCAGCCTCCGTCTCGATTAGTAGGATATGCGGTGGTTCATTTTTTTGACTGTGACCGGTATGCTTTTGCCTTTATTTGGATGCCTTGTTGTTCCTTGCGTTTCACCTGTATGTCATGAATATAGCCTTCGAACGTATATTGCAGCCCCTTTTGACTACTTCTATCGGACACTTTATTTGCTGCTTTATAAAAGTTTGATAAAATTTCAGCAGGAAGAGCTGTCACAGCATAAGCCATGTTGATACCAAACCAGAGCCCAGATGAAGTTTGTCGGACGTAGCAACAGTAACTAAGGGGGGCGGGGCATAGCCAAAGGTGAATTTTTTCCATCTGATGAACAATGAAAGAAATGACAGCCAATCAGAATCCATCCTGGTAAACACCTTAGAACTGGTCCGTGGTGATTATGTAAAAGGTAGGTGTGGCTCTGAGGCTCCGCCTTCTTTGACATGGAAGTATTCTCCGAATCATTTCTTCTGTTCAGCGAGTCCACGAGTAAAAACATGAACACACTGGAGGGCCGCTATATAGTAGAAAATGAAGTTGTTATTCTAATCGAAAGAGACCCTGACACTCCTTTTTCATGTTTGATGTTTGACGTCAGGATGTTCACTAACAGTATACCGCTCGTCACGTATTTCGAACTTCTTTTTACCCCAAAGAGAAGAACAAATAAGAACTTTGCCGTGAGTATATCGTGGCCTTAAGGTGTTTACAATCAAAATGGGACAAAATGGCCAGTGGGCAAACATCTAGCAGTGTCGATCAGTTTATGCTTAAAGGTGCTGTCTGTACGAATGACAGCTAGTGGTCGAAATAGGTACTTCAATCCAAATTCAAAATATCAGAGATCGTTGTTTCCCCCGCCCCCTCCTCCTCAGACTCGACGCTCACGCGGGTTGCCTGTTTGAGGACACGCAACAGGAACGAGCGCAATTGACAATGAAAGCCGAGGAAACTTAAGTAAGTTGATGAGTAGATTTATCCGCGTTTTAATATGCTCTCGTTCATAGAGATTTTTAGATGGATACCGAGGCTTTTTAGGTTGGGTAGAATCTGCAATCTCTGACCCAGTTTGTTTGCTGGCTGCAATACGCTGTGTTTCCTGCCAACTGGCATCCCGGGGTGTTGAAATACTATTGGGTGAACTGGCAGTGGGCGAGATCACACAGACCAAAACAAAAACAGACATTCCAACACGGAAGGCACATTTCAAAGTAAAATGACTGGCTGTAGAAGTGTTTTTCAGAGAAACGAGTATGTGAACTCAGCATGTTTCCTAAATATCTGCAAACATATTATGGTATTTTGATGCTTAAGTAGAGTGAAAAAGTTACATACAGCACCTTTAAGCGGTTCATGACCATTAAAGGAAAGCGGTATAATGCGTTTACATGACCACATGCATTGTCAGCATATTAAGCATAATTAGTTCAACAGCCCGAGTGTAAATGCAATCATTTATGACAAAGGAACAAGTTATGTGCTGAAGTTTATTTCAAACCTATTAAAAAAAAAAAAACCTATTGAAGCTTTAAACCTTTTTGAAGGTTTTTTTTTTTTCAATTCAGTGTTACAGTTCACAAAAGCCAAATCATTTGTTTATGAATTGGGCTAATACGGCTGTACAACTCACTGATTCAATAACGACTACTTTTATACTTATGATTAGGGGCCGTTGACAGAGAACACATTTTTCCATTCCACTGCGCTTCTTTTCCATTGTTATTCAATGTAAACACATGCTAGACATTCGTCTTTAGCAATTTTTAAAAAACAGACCTTGCATTTTTTTTCTTCATTCCACGGACCCGAGTCTCACATTTTTAACAGCAAAAACGTGTTTTGCCTGAATTGCCCCTTATGGTGTTTTTGCATCCTTTTTCATACATTTTTGTGAATTTTAAATTCTTAAAAGCATATTAATATAGAATTTAACTGATGTGCGGTCACAGGTGTGTTTATATCGGCTATTTTACAGCAGCTTACCTGAGTAATTCCATCAGAATTTGCAATTGTTGTTAACACAAAATTGCATTCTCCTTCACATTCAACTTGAATTCTTACTGCACCTGTAGTGCGCTTCAAAAGCATCATAATTTCCTTTTGCTGTGCACATTTTGTACAGTAAGATTCAATTCAATGCTTTTGTAAGCTTTACAGCACACCTGTGCTAGAACATGTGTAGCTGTGATGTAGATCAATGCATTATGCATGCTTTACAATACCCCTGTAACATCTTTGTTACTTCTACTTCTGAAGTTGCCACTCTATGTAGACCGAGAGCGAGTGTGTCGACAAAGAGCTGAGCTCTGTATTAAAGCATTCAGGGATGCAGAGGCGGGCACTTTCTCTCTTTTGGGCATCTGTCTGGAGAGGCGTGAGGTCGTGGGAGCTACAGCAGCTCACTCAGCATCTTTCTTTAGCCTGTGTTCTCTGCTTAATGAACTGCAGCTTTGTCCATTTTTGCTGCTTAGCTTAGGTCAACTTTCCATGCCGCAGCGAAAAAAGGCCCACCGTCCGCTAAAGGTACACTAAGACATTAGCAGTGACGTATGATAGTAGATGGAAACTAGTTTTACAGCAGAACATCTAAGCTTTCCATTTTAACCTCTTGAAATTTCAAGAAGTTATTTGTGCGCTGACTGATGGATGTTGGGTTTTCTGCTATTTAGACATTTAAAGCAAGACACCCCAGGTGAATAGGGTAAAGAAAATAAAAATAAAAACAATTAGATATCACCATACTTCCTCAGTTGATTGATTACAAGAATTGCAACTATTTTTGTATTACAAGTTTTCTGAAATGTTATATTTAAATATGCAATTTAGGCATTATCTAATTACAGTTTTTCTCAATCGATTTGACATTTCTCCAAACTCAGGTCACTGTTATCAAAACGGTTAACACAGTGATCTGAACACTTTGTAATTGTCCTAAACAGGTTGTCCAGTTTCCTTCATTTCATGGAAATAACAAATCATAATTTTCTCAAAATACTGTGCACAAAATTCTCAAATGTTTTCACTGTAGTTCATACAGCCAACCAAAACTTTAAGGAAAAAAACAATTGCAGCTCTTTTTATTGGTTTTACAAAGATCACATTAATTGGGGTCATTTTATGAAGTGTTGATTTTGTTTTTGGGGTGTACTATGTTGTGGCAAAAAATCATTAACCAACCAATATCACTGCGTAAGAGACATTCTGAGACAAAAGGTCTTTTAAAATGATTTATTCTTGCAAGAATAGGTTCAGTCTGACACACAGAAGTTTCGCTGTGCATGAGAGTGACACCCAACAGGAAGATATGAGACAGCTTTTATACTCTTTTCAAGGTTCTTCCTTATAAGTTGGCTCCAGATAAGGTCCTTTCTGCTGTTCAGTTTCTACACAAGGACAGAACTGATACTGAAATAAACTGGCCAAATCTGACCGTCCCTAAGGTCAGAGTACCTGTCCCATATGTTCCAGAAAGTCACTCACAAGCACGTACACATGTATATTTTTACTCATTGAATAGGTTCAAAAAACACATTATTTTTCACATATTTTACATTATTACAGCTCATCTCTCCCAGTCTGTCCCGAACGCATTGTTTAGTTCCGGTTTTGATGAAGCCCCTCCTTCCGAAATACGAAATGTGCTGTGATTGGTTAGCTGGACCAGTGTGTTGTGATTGGCAGCGCTTAGCGTGTGTTCTGGAAATATCCCGCCCCTCAATAACGGCGAGTTCTGATCTAGTGTAAATATAAATGATGGTGCCGATTTCAAACCCGATTCAGACCCTGACAATGTTAACAAACAAGAAGAGAATTCAGAACGGATTTCGTGCACAAAGTTATCCTCCATTTAATCCTGATATTTGTCGGAAAACGTCTCAGGTTACTTGACATAAACTTGGTTCCCTGAGAGGAGGGAACGAGACACTGCGTGATTGCTCATGCTTTGGGGAAAACTAATTTTCTCCAAAATCCTGAAGCCTGATTGAAGCGCGCTATTGCATTGCAATAGCCAATGGCGCTTGAGCGCTCGCACAGTGGGCGGGCTCAACCGCTATATAAGCAGAGCCCAGCGCCGTGAAATCTACTAAACAAATAGTCACCAACTCTGAGTTTTCAACACAGTAATCTACACTGTGTCTCGTTCCCTCCTCTAAGGGAACAAAGGTTACGCCAAGTAACCCGAGACATTCCCTTTCGAGTTTCGCAGGAGATAGAAGATCCCTTCTCAGTGGGATTGGCCACGGAAGGGTCGTCGCCAGACTCACCAGTTCCTGGAACCACGGCTAGTTGGGCCATTTCGGCGCTACCAGTAGTAAACTGTCTCTCTCCTCCCAGATCTTCTGCAGCACCGGCGACATTATGGCACCCATACATACCAGCACCCAAACTGGGGAAAAGCATATTTCCGTCCTCTGGGCCAGCTGTTCAACAGCGCATCCCTAATCAAGGGCGCATTCGTTTGAGAAAAGAAGAACAGGCAGTGGGCATTCTCCTCCGAGGCGAAGACGTTAATCTCAGCTTCGCCAAAGAGGCTCCAAATCAGACTCACAGTTCGACGGTGCAGCCTCCATTCCCCGTGCACAATGCCCTCCCTGGACAGCATGTCCGCTCTGCAGTTCAGCCGTGCCATCGTTTGCAGGGCACTCGAACGCATTCGATTGATGTACGCCACCACCACCACTGTATTGTCCGTCCGAATGAGAACATGATGGTCTCTTACAAATGGCAAAAACTCTTGTAGAGCTAGGTGAACCGCCTTCAGCTACAAGCAGTTTATGTGCCAGCGCGCCTGGGAGCTCATCCACGTACCAAATGCTGGTCTGCCATCGCAGAGGACTACCCAGCCGGTCAGTGACTACCTTTCGTCTAAACCACTCTGCCCATACTGATTCCCTGCATACAAGCTCCTGTTGAGCCAGGGTGTCAGTGCATCGAGACAAGAGCGCGTTACCAGCCCTCCACGCTCTTCGTGGGACACAGCCCTTTAACCAAAGCTGCAGTGGCCCCATGTGCAGCAGACCCAGGCAGCAAACAGAGGCTAGGGGTACGTCCAGAGAAACTGGAGGCGTGATCGTGTCCTCAGTAGGGGCCTCAGACCAGGGACCTGGGATCTGAGCGGCAGTCATATCCTTCTAACGCTGCCTCAGCATGCGCGCGACCCAAACACAGCACTCAGCGGCTGTGTGAGTCCGGGAACTCGATGGGTCCAGCGCACATGCGCCATCCTCGAAGTGACATATCCTTGCCTGATTGTAGGAGGTGATCGCTTCTCGTGTCTTCCGCTATTCTTGCAGGTCTATGGCAAAGTAGGCTTCCAAGTAAGTGTAGTGAAGGAGAAATATTTTGAGATTTCACGGCACTGGGCGCTGCTTATATAGCGGTTGAGCTAGCCCACTGCGCGAGCATTCAAGCTCATCGTTATACAACAAAACTCGTCATTAAATAACTTTAAGCAACACGATTAAAGAAGACAAAAAAACATGTATTTTCATTCATGTATTTGTGTATCTACAGCTGAATGTATTAAATCAACAGAGAAAACACTTAAAGTTTTGATGTTAGTATTTGTTTTTGATAAATGCTTTAATAAAATGCAATGCTTCATTATGCAGTGAATACTGAACTGGTTTGCCAACATAAGAGTGTTTAGTTTGCTGTGTTAATTGTTTTGAGAGCAACTACATTCATTTGGAGAAATGTGTCAAATCGATTGAGAAAAACTGTAAATATGCAATAATTTGCATACATTACCAGAACAGAAATCTGAACACTGGATTAAGCCAGGTTCAAAATTTTGGTTTCATTTTGTTGACATATTAGAGTTAAAGGTTTTTACTGAGGTTGTTTTTTAAAAATCTTTTTATCAATTAAAAAAACTGAAAATACTGTCAACAGCCAGACTCCGGCCTTTAAAGATATGTATTGTAATTGAAGTCAACATAATATAATGCAATAAAAGCAACACTTAAAAGTGTATTCTGGATGTTTTCTTTCCATTAGTTTGAAACAACAGCCAAATAACAACAAAAGCCAAATAGCACAAAATCTCAAAATTGCCCCAAAGATCTCAAAGATGCCTGTGGTGTCTCGCTTTAAATAGGTGTCTTTTTGCTGTTATTTTAGTATAAATAATATAGTATTATCGTATTTATCAGTATTTGAATTATCTTTTACTTTTATATTTTACATTTTCCTTTTAATTAATTAGTTTAAAATTTACTAATTTTATCAGTATTTTGAATTATCTTTTACTTTTATATTTTACATTTTCCTTTTTATTAATTAGTTTAAAATGTACTAAGTTTGTTATGTTTTTTCCATTTCCCACCCTCCCTAATGTTTCTATTTAGCTTTTATTTTTATTTCAGTTTAGTATACTGTAACAGTCATGTTCTTTTCTGTTTTGTTGTCCTGTGTTTCCTGTCAAATGGACTCTTTTCATGAATCGTTACTTGTGTATTTCAGATGTGTGGTGTTCAATAACAGAGGTGTATCGGGTGAAAAGTTATTGGTAAGAATAATATTTGTATCTCCTCTATGTTCTGTTTCATCTTGCCTTGTTCAGTATGTAAGGGGTATACAGTCAAAGACCCAGAACCAGATATGAAGAATGAAGACCCGGAGTCAGAATTATAAAAAATTAAAGAAAAGTTTTACTGAAGATAGTTTGCATTTTCATCAGCAGAAGTCAGCTTCAAGACTCACACAGGAGTTCGTAGGCCGCCCCTTACAGTTACAAAGATCACAGCAGTTATACCATTTCCAAGGTCTAAGCTACATCATTGCTTACAGGTTGAATGATTCTCATTGGCTAAGAAACATGAAAGCCTAAACAATTTAACACATGTGAGGAGATAGGGGTGCCTATCGCCATTAGTCAAGATAGTTGTCGTCCACTCATTAGATTTAGGTCTGTGGTGGCCTCGCAGGTTAGAGAAGGGCGCCGGGGTGTCTGGTCCGAACGTCCAGAACCTACATAGAATGTCATACGCACACACACACAAATAACAGACACTAGCAAATAACAGCTCCCATCAAGGCTGAAGAGAGTCTGAGCTCCTTATTATCAGTTAAGTATACCAAAACATAATGCTAAAACATTCACTCGTTTGGGAGAAAAACAGATCACTGGCATTTACTCCCAAGGAAGGAAATATACTGGAAAGAATACATTTTAATACAACAATTAAAGTTTGATAGTAACGCTCAATATAGCTTGACCATATGTCCAGCGAAGAATCATATGTGCCCACGCTGCCTTTAGGACCCTCTAACCTTTCTACTGATCCCAGAGAAAGAGACAAACGGCCTTGTGGGTTACGTGGCCTTCGTGTCCTGCGTGTACTACGTGCAATCTCAAAGTAAGATTGGAATGCACCTAAAAGAAACTGGTTATTTACATCACATGCATTTAAGAAAATATAATTTCACAAGCACAAAGAATATAAAAATTATTATGTGATAATGAATATATTTGATTATTGATTTTTATAAAGGAAGTACACTCACCGGCCACTTTATTAGGTACACCTGTCCAACTGCTCGTTAACACTTAATTTCTAAGCAGCCAATCACATGGCGGCAACTCAGTGCATTTAGGCATGTAGACATGGTCAAGACAATCTCCTGCAGTTCAAACCGAGCATCAGTATGGGGAAGAAAGGTGATTTGAGTGACTTTGAACGTGGCATGATTGTTGGTGCCAGAAGGGCTGGTCTGAGTATTTCAGAAACTGCTAATCTACTGGGATTTTCACGCACAACCATCTCTAGGGTTTACAGAGAATGGTCCAAAAAAGAAAAAACATCCAGTGAGCGGCAGTTCTGTGGGCGGAAATGCCTTGTTGATGCCAGAGGTCAGAGGAGAATGGCCAGACTGGTTCGAGCTGATAGAAGGGCAACAGTGACTGAAATAACCACTCGTTACAACCGAGGTATGCAGCAAAGCATTTGTGAAGCCACAACACGCACAACCTTGAGGCGGATGGGCTACAACAGCAGAAGACTCCACCGGGTACCACTCATCTCCACTACAAATAGGAAAAAGAGGCTACAATTTGCAAGAGCTCACCAAAATTGAACAGTTGAAGACTGGAAAAATGTTGCCTGGTCTGATGAGTCTCGATTTCTGTTGAGACATTCAGATGTTAGAGTCAGAATTTGGCGTAAACAGAATGAGAACATGGAACCATCATGCCTTGTTACCACTGTGCAGGCTGGTGGTGGTGGTGTAATGGTGTGGGGGATGTTTTCCTGGCACACTTTAGGCCCCTTAGTGCCAATTGGGCATCGTTTAAATGCCACGGCCTACCTGAGCATTGTTTCTGACCATGTCCATCCCTTTATGGCCACCATGTACCCATCCTCTGATGGCTACTTCCACCATGTCACAAAGCTCTAATCATTTCAAATTGGTTTCTTGAACATGACAATGAGTTCACTGTACTAAAATGGCCTCCACAGTCACCAGATCTCAACCCAATAGAGCATCTTTGGGATGTGGTGGAACGGGAGATTCGCATCATGGATGTGCAGCCGACAAATCTGCGGCAACTGTGTGATGCCATCATGTCAATATGGACCAAACTCCCTGAGGAATGCTTCCAGCACCTTGTTGAATCTATGCCACGAAGAATTGAGGCAGTTCTGAAGGCAAAAGGGGGTCCAACCCGTTACTAGCATGGGGTACCTAATAAAGTGGCCGGTGAGTGTATATAACCATTCAAAAGGATATATGATTATAGATGTATTTGAAGAGGCAAGGGATTTTGACCAACCCTTCAAGTATATCCCAAAACGTATGTAATGTTAAGCTTTGGCACAGGTTACACACATTGCTGTCACCATGAATATTTGCAAATATATGAAGTATGAGTCATTTAAATTAAAGTTGCGTAATATTTGTTGTGCAAACACATCCCGTAAACTAGACCCCTGATAAAATCTTTCCTTTTCATTTGACTCATGTACCCTTCGTTGGAATTCAGATGATAATGTTTTTCCGATGTGTGTTTGCAATTAAATGAGGCTTAAAATCCTTGAAACGTGTTGGGAATGTGTTCATAAAAACCTTTGCAGATGGACCCTGTCCCATGGAAATAATCTTGAAGCATAACCTACAAATATGTTTGTTTGTTTTTTTTAGAAAAAATAATGGTTAAAAAAATGCACAATTTTAAGTAATATTTTCCATGAGTAGCACTTAAGGTCTGATAAAAGTTTTTTTGTATTCAATTAAAATATGATTAGTCAGAGACTATCAACACATCACAATACACAATCAGTAAATCTCATTAAAATGCTTTAATAATACTTCAGATTTCATTGGAGAAATGAATTATGATATATATTTTAATACGTCAGGGCTTTGAGATCATGTCCATGCTTTATAGTACCCACATTAATGCATTGAGATTGTAAGATTCTATAAGCATGAATATGGATCATGTGAGCTTTGGTGTTTGTGTGTCTATGGTTAAAGACATACGCTCTCTATTATGTGTCTTATAATAACCTTTGTCCACTGTACTCTAGACGCCTAGGACTTATTGTGCAGCCAATACAGAGGATCTGGAGATGGTCATTGAGCATGTCCAGCGGACCATTGACAAAGCTCCGCTCATGGCGGCTGGGGTTTCTATGGGCGGGTGAGTTTAACACACACACACATACTCTCTCTCTCTGGGGTTTATCCTGCCCTTATATGGGAATTGATCACAGCTACTGTACTATGATCAGGCATACCTGGACACTCTAGCTCTATTTTTCCACTAATACAAACTGTATAGCGCCTGTAATTAAATAGAAAGTTAGCATGCAGTTGCCTATGTGAAATACAGTACCGTTTACAAGTTTGGGGTCTCTTATGCTGACCACAACTGCATTTATTTGATCAAACATACAGTAAAAACAGTCATATTTTGAAATACTATTATTATTTAAAATAACAGTTTTTTCTCCTGTAAAGTATTCTTTTTTGATATATTTTAAAATGTAATTTATTCCTATGATTGCAAAGCTGTATTTTCAGCATTCTTACTCCAGTCTTCAGTGTCACATGATCCATCAGAAATCATTCTAATTGTCACGTTCTGTTTGGTTTGTTCCAGTTGCTCTTAGTTTGTATTCTCTTATTTCCTTCCATCTTTAGTTCCTGTTTCCTTTGTACCCTAGGTTCCCTTTGCTAGTTTGTTTAGATAACTGATTATCATCACCTGTGTCTTGTTTTAGTCTTCTGTGTATTTAATGCCCTCAGTTTCCTTAGTTCAGTGTCAAGTAGGGGAGAGCGGGGCACAACCTAATGCATTTTGGTTTTGGCTCAATTATTACAAAAATGATTATGTTAGATTCAACTTTTTTTTTCACAAGCAACATACACATCTCTGCTACAAATGAACACTTAAAGTTTTTTTCTAGGACCTACCATTTTCGTACTGTTGCATTGAAAGTGACAGAAGTGCAAAAGTTACAACTTACCCCATATGCGGGGTTAATTGTAACAGACAGAGGGGTTAGTTGTAACACTTGTGTGTAATGCACATAATTCAGTACTATTTTATTTGTATAGTTTGATATTGTTTGTGCATCTGTATAGATAGATATCCATACATCCATCCCTCATCCAATCATCCTTCTATTATGGATCAATATCATGGATAGAGACATAGAAAAGGGCTGCACAGTTTTGCAATAAATAAATAAATAAAATCATCAAATATTGTAATTGCAATTGAATTAGATTTGTGTGGCAGTTGCATGTAAAATTATTATTATTAATAATAATAACAGTAATAATAATACAAATGAGCTTAAAATCAAAATTTAAAGGGTTTATTGCATTAAAAACAGGCCATATTTTTAATAAATAAACAAGTGATCAATGCATAGTAAACTTAATTTTAAACATTTTAAATTCCAACATTGTTTGTGAAAGTCCAACAAAGTTAAATATAAAAATAAATACTCAAACCTGAAAAGTTGTGTGGCTCCCTGTTTTCACTTGTTTATCATTGTACACTTGGCGGCTTAGTTGTAACACTGTGCTACAACTAACCCCGCTGTGTAAAGCATATTTTAAGCTTAGCTAACAGTTGCTAGGAGTTGCTGACATGTTTCAAAACGGTGCTATGTTTTAGCAAACAAGACAGTGATTAAGGCAATATAAAGTTAGATTTGAAAACGTACACGCCCAACTCAGAAACCGAAAAAAACCTATGATGAAAAAATTGACTTGCATGGTGTCAAAACACTCTTTGTCCAGTTTCTTCACGAAATATTATCAAAACTTTCCACAAATTTGCGGGAGACCGTCTTCTGGCAGCGAGAGAAAAAGAGCGGAAACACAACCTGCTTGATCCTGACTAACTATATAAAAGGTCCGTGTTACATTTAACCCCGCGTTAGGTTGTGCCCCGCACTCCCCTATTGTCTTTGTGTTGGAATGCAAAACGGTTGCGTTTAAACTCCCCTGTTGTATCTTCTTTGTCGATTTTTACGTTTTTGTTTTGTTAAATAAAGGAAAACTGCTGCAATTAAGGTAAGTTACACGACAACAATGTACTAAAAATGGTTTTCCTTTGCTATTTTTGCTTACAGATGACAACATTGTCAAAATGACTCCGCAAACAACTAAAAACGCTGTATTATTCATGCCAGGCCAGTAGTTGGCGATGTCACTTTCTAAAGAAAAACTATGCGCTTTATAGACTGAACACATAATACACTTGTGCATAAAGTCACTGTTTTTACAAATTTGCGTTTTTGTTGTTAAAATGAATGGGCGAAATGCATAAAGTTTTCCGATAGTGTTAGCAACACTGATAGCAACACTATGTTGTGTAAACGGCGCCTTAGATTCGCATGTCCTCTTCCTCGCCTGCCTCCCCGTGACACTAAGTATACATTTACACGACTACAATGTACTACAAACGGAAAAGTTTTTAGCGTACAGACGGCAACATTGTCAAAAGGATCCCAGTTCACACTGATCTGTGAAAATGACTAAAAACGCTGTATTCTGCTGCCAGGACAGTAGTTGGCGATGTCACTTAGTAAAGAAACACTACGCACCTACAGACTGAACACGTAATACGCATGCGCGTGACGTCACCGTTTTCACACATTCGTGTTTTTGTAGCTTACACTGAGACGATAACGGTATCATTTTCAGAAACTAGCATTTTGAAACCCGTTTTCAAAAAGTTTGCGTTTTTAGGCCTCGAAAACACAGTTGTCCTGTAAATGAACGATCAACTGTTTTTCGTTGAAAACGGTGTTGTGTAAACGGCCCTTACCATGCAGATTTGGTTCTCAAAAAACATTTCTTATTATTATCAATGTTAAAAACAGCTGTGCTGCTTAATATTTTTGTGCAAAACATGGTACACTCATAATAAATGACATTTTCCCTATTTTTCTTATGTAATGTTTGTTGTTTCTTTGATTTATTTTGAGCATTATTTCTATATCCCTGAACTATTAAACAGTTTTTTTTTTTAGATGGACAGAACTAATGTTGTTCAATAATGTCATGCAAATATGCAAAAAGGAAAACAACAACATATACAACTGAAGTATTGCTGTTTCAATAATAAGCATTATATAATAATATCAATTCCTAACTTATTTTATAAAGTTTTCCCGCTTCATGATTTGTTCATGTATTTATTTCCTCCGTCATGTGATGCAGATGAAATTTCAGCTCCCAGACTCCTCCACAGCTTCATTTCACCCTAGACTTCTAAGTAAAAGTTGAGTCAGCAGTATACTGCTCTAATCCTCTCCGTCTTACAGAAAGAAAAAGGTCAGCTTCACACAGCTTATGCCCAAAAATGTAGCAGCTGTATATATAATATATATATATATATATGTGTGTGTGTGTGTGTGTCTGGGGGGTCACAGTAATTTTGCCAAGTAAGATATTTTGTTGATCCTGGAACAACATTCCTGTCCTTATATTTAGTCATAACCATATCCCTACCTTTAAACCTAACCCTACCCATATCTTCTCCATAAAATCAGAAGGAAATGATATGTGAATAACACTGATGTAGAAGCACCTAACCCTGGTTGTAAGCCTAAACTACACATAAACTGAAAACTTTGCTCTCAAATCTGATTGGTTGACAAAGATGTTGATCCAGGAACATGTTGTACTTGGTGAAATCGTGTTCACCGTGTGGGTGCGGGTGTGTGAGTGTGTGTGTGTGTGGGGGGACTGGTGCTGGTAAACCCTACGCTGTGGAGAAAAAATAAAAAATGTTGGACCCTATGAGGAAACCAGCTTATAAATCATACTAAATTATGTTTTTTGAAAATGTAAAAATGCAGAAAGTTTTCTGTTTAGGGGATGGAATATAGTTTGTACAGAATAAAAAGCATTATGTGAATGGAATGACCCGTGTGTGTGTGTGTGTCTGCGCGCGTTCCTGGATACGTTACGACTCATGATTGCATGAGGATGTTTTAGCTGCTGTGCTGTTATCGTGTGACTAAAATCTCATATCTTGACACCCGACAGGATGATGCTGGCGAACTACGTGGGTCGGAAAGGCTCTGAGGTGCGTCTGAAGGGTGTGGTGGTTTTTTCGGCAGGCTGGGATGTGTTCGAGTGCACGGCTTCACTGGAGAAGCCCCTGGACCGCTTCCTCTTCAACTCCTACCTTACCAGCTGCCTGCAGGCATCCGTGGACCGGTCAGTGGGGTCAGAGGGGGATAAGCCCGGCTTAATTTACCGTAGTCGAGTGTGTGTGTGTGTGTGTGTGTGTGTGTGTGGTGCCGTCGCAGAGGACGTTGTCCCCGACTGCCCCCCTTTTTGGTTCTGATCTCTTTTTGAATGCTACCAAATGTGCCAAATAAGATTAAACTGAATTTGTTACGTATTTTGCTGAAGTACACAGAGTTTCAGAACAGGACTTATAAATTAAATGAACACTTTGCACATATGAGGCTTATTCTACAACTTTAATTAACTCTTAATCAGCTTATCAGCAAAACAAAAAAAGTGCCATGGTGCTACCATGGTACAGTGATGGTGTTTGATACTGCTGAATTGCTATGAGCTGCTGAATTTAAACAGCCACACATTTCTACATAAATTCAATTAAAATGCAAAAGAACTTTTGTAAGGGATGACAACTGAACTCCACTTGCAGAATTAATCTTGCAATGTGATGACAACAATATAGCATACAATTTTTTGAAACGTTTGTTGCTGCATAGTACGCACGGTTTGACAATGTTTTGGCATTTTGTGGTATTTTTAAGAATTCGTATGCAGTACACAGCGTTTTTTACATGATTTATTTGAATAATATCTTTAAGTTGTGATGAAATGTAAGTAGCTGCAGATGTGTTTTTTGTGTGTGTTATGACGTACATCTGAGCAAAACATTGACATTGAGATTGGATTTTGAGATGTGGGAGTTGCACTCAAAAATGAAGGCAGATCTAAATGAGAGGCGGTGTAAGAAAAGTGAGGCATTTAAAGGGATACTCCACTTTTTTTGGAAATAGGCTCATTTTACAACTCCCCCAGAGTTAAACTGTTGAGTTTTACCGTTTTTGAATCCATTCAGCCGATCTCCGGTTCTGGCGGTACCACTTTTAGCATAGCTTAGCATACATCATTGAAGTGGACAAGACCATTAGCATTTCTAAAAAAAAAGCAGCAGGCGTAATGATATGACGCAGCGCCTGAAAATAGTTCCGTTGTGTTGACGGAAGGTAGCCTATTTTCAGGCGCTGCGTCATATCATTGCGCCTGCTGCTCTCATGGTACGGCAGTAAAGTTTCTTGATTATTACGCAGGAATGAGAGTATAGTTCCTAGCCATATCAGCCTAGAAAATCGCAACTTTACATTTTCCGTCGGTCTTAGTGCACGATGTAACTACAGAAGAGTCAAGTTTTAAATAGGAAAAATATCGAAACACTTTGGTCATTTTTTAATGAGAAATGCTAATGGTCTTGTCCACTTCAATGATGTATGCTAAGCTATGCTAAAAGTGGTACCGCCAGAACCGGAGATCGGCTGAATGGATTCAAAAACGGTAAAACTCAACAGTTTAACTCTGGGGGAGTTGTAAAATGAGCCTATTTCCAAAAAAAGTGGAGTATCCCTTTAAGCAGACTAAATCGTCTGTTTCGCCTTAAGATCCAGTTATGACTTTCTGATTAAACATTATGAGGTCAAAAAATATAACAAAATGAAACATGCATGGATAAAAAAAAAAGCTTTATAAATGAGAGTTATGAATACTTCTTGTTATATGGAGATTATCCTAAAACTAATTGTGACATTTTCCTCTCTTCTTTTTTTGCAGTCACAGAACCATTCTTGAAAAAAAATATGATATAGACCATGTGATGAAGGCGAGTCATTCATTCTGATCTTGCACTGTATTGTTTCACGTTTTTTTGTTACATATTGTTAATGTAATAGAATTATTCCTTGCTCGATCTGTGGTTCACTTCAATCATGCCTTTCACAGGCTAAAACAATCCGAGAGTTCGATGAACGTTTCACATCCATCATGTTCGGTTATCCATCCAATGAAGACTACTATCGAGACGCTAGTCCTATTCACAACATCAAGTCTGTGCAGGTGCCGATGCTGTGCCTCAACGCAGCTGACGACGTCTTTTCCCCCAATCACGGTGAGTTTGTTAGGGTTGCTTGAGAGATTTTAGCCCGTTATAAAGTGTGTGTGTATTTTTAAGAAAATCTGCATGGTTGTGACGTTTAAGTTTAGGGCTGAAGTGAACAAATCAGCCAGTTGAAAAGGTCATAACTTTATCCCATCCATGTTCTTCTTCAGCCATTCCAGTAGATGCCGTGAAGCAGAACCCCAATGTGGCGCTCCTCATCACATGTCACGGCGGCCATATTGGCTTCCTTGAGGGTCTGTGGCCACGGCAGAGCACTTACATGGACCGAGTTTTTCAGCAGTTCACCAAGGCCGTGTTTGAGAACGGCAGCGGTCTAAATGATCTCCACTGACGCTCCCTTTCCATTACCTCAGTCTATAGCCATTAGCAAAAAAGGAAGAAAAACCAGTATACATTTCCAATATGAAGGGCACAGGTTCACTTGAAGGCCAGGGTTGTTTTTTCAGCCTGTTAATTTATTTATTTCGTTATTGTTGTAGTTTTAAGCACATCTCTTTTATTTGCATTCATGGAACAGACCTTGCACATGTTCCATCCGTTTCATCCGTCCATCCATTGGTGCACTTATTTGTTTCTTAACTCCATTCATATGTGACTTCCATGTCTGTGTATGACTCTTTATTATGTATTTTTAAATCTCTGAATCACTCATTAGGTGATATTACTCGGCATTAATTCACATGCGAGTGTCCAAAAAACATGATTAATAGCCTATTGAAAATTACTGGGACAAGAAATGTCCTGGTCACATTTCACCGCTAAATCAGAATAATAATACAAATTTAAAAAATGCGAATATATTATGTTTGCATAAAAAAAATGAAGCCTAATTTACTAAGATTACTAAGATTATTTACTAACACACACACACACATTTTCATGCAAAATAAATCCCATTCTCATTGCCGTAATCCAGTAATAAAAAAAGAAATAATTATTTTTGACCATAATGTCTTATAAAATCACAATTAATTACCTTACAATGATTTATACTTAGAATATTACTTTGCAAATTCACATTACAATTTAAACGTAATATAATTTTTGCTTTTACAAAAAAAAGACGATCTTTGTCACATTAATGTAGCATTAGGAGTTTGTAAGATTATGATAGAAATTACAGATATTGTATTTATTTTATAAGCATGAATTGCTTGCTTAGAAGTAATTTTTAGATAAAAAAATATATATATAATAATATTTAAAATATCAAAATTGTAAAAACGAAGAATCTTTATTTGTTTATTTTTTATTGAAAGATTAGCATTGCCTAATCTCTAGGTACTTCAAGGGGTAGAAATATTTGAAATATTTGAGGCCATTTTGGTTTTAAGACTGAAGGCCACTGAGAATGAATTTGCTTAATTGCCATATTGAAATTAATCCAAACAAGGTCATGTTCTTTATGCAAAATTCACAGACATTTTTGATGAGACAGTTGTTTTTTGATGAGAAACTGCACTACTGTAGAAATGGTTGTAGCCATGAATGTTGGAGGGCATTATGTGCATTTGTAATGCTAAGTATAAGATTTTTTTTTTTCCTATTCAAAATCTAGGACCTAAGTGAAGAAAAACAGTCCTCGTCCAGCTGCACATTTACCTTCTTATATGTAAACATGAAGGTTTAATTCATTGATTACCAGAAGTCAATGCCTTATCAGTTCAGTCCTTCCCAAGTGTTAAGAAAGGAAGATTTAGCTATTATTGTCTTTATAGTATCAATAAATTGTGCGTAAGACCAGTTGAAGTAGAGACTTGTCTCCATGTATTTATAGAGCGTATATTTCCAATTCTTCACTTACTTGATGTTTCTTAAATAGCTTTGTGGCCCTCAGGGACAAACCCCACTTCTGATATTTTTTGTTTGTGTTTCCTGTTAGTTTGTGTTTTTTTAAGGCAAGGAAAGATTGTATCATATCAAAGTTTTTATTTTTCACAAGAATGTACCGCATGCACTTTTTTTGTCATTACTGTTTTATTTGACACTGACTAGCTCAACATTGTAAATTAATCATATTTTTTTACTAGGAATGTACAAATAGCACTGTTTATAGTTGAAGGCACTAAAGTTAAAGTGTGTTTTCTTGGACCAGACAGACTTGGCTTCAAGGATTCTGTGAAAGTGAAAATGACTTGAGCTACTGTTTGTCTAAACTAAAATATGCTTGCTTGGACTTTACTTCAGGCTCAAATGGCTCTTTATATGATGGCGCATTGAAATCCTATACCAACAGCTCCTTAAATTATATAAAAAAATGAGAGAGAAAAAAAACAGGAGCACATATTATTTGTGTGAAAATGACAGGAATAGTTTGACCCAGGATGGATATATGATATATTTGTTGAGGAAGCTCTTTATAAACGGTGCCCGAATATAATTGTACATAAGGATTTTCAATGAGGAATGTTAGTTATTGAAATATCCTTCCTATGAAAACGCCCAGCCATGTGTTGTACATTGACCTTTGTCTGTTTTTATGACGGTGCTGCTTCATATTGCGCATCTATCTGTCAGTGCTTTGGGGCCGCGACTGCTCCTGCGGACTGTAAAAATGCTTTCCGTCCATCCTGTTACTAAATAGCATGTGTCACTGTTTTTAAGTGTCTTGAGTAACTGTCCCAACATGCATCGCATAACATGTAGCACAACATACATATTTTTCCATGAAGATGTCTTTCCTTATAAATATTTATAAAAGGATTGTGTATTTAACATGTGCAGCAATAAGATTTTAATATAAGACATATGTCAATGTAGAATAAATATATGAACATGTTCTTGTATGGAATATAAGTGCATTTGTGGTCTTAAATAAATTATGGAATTTAGTCGTAAAGCAATATGTTAGTAATATGGTTATTTAATTATAGCCTTTTGTACTGATAGTGTAATATCAATAATAATAATTAATATTATTATAATAATTATATTAAATATATAATTATACATTATAAAAATAATAATGAATGGCACTTGCCATGAGTATAAAGCTTAAATTATTTAAGTTAAGTTTTTAACTTAAATAGCGTTTAGGTGAAAGGAGCATGTAAAGGGAAAACAACACCGGCCTGAGGATTGATCCCTGTGGGACTCCACAATTAAGAGATATAGAGGACGAGTGATGACCAATACAAACAGCGAACCACCTGTCAAATTGGATCGGAACCACTGTTGTTCCGTGCCATGAAGTCCTAGCCTGGTTAAAACCAGACCATTCTCAGTTGTAACTGAGTTATGGTCTGGCAAAGCGTCATAGACAAATCATTTCCAGAGGGGCGTCACCAACGGACGTTGCGGATAGACCTAAACCCAATCAGAGCGATGAAGGAGATGACGTATGCAGAGCGGCAGAAACATCTCCGAGTGTTGTTCTTTGCTCGGTTTTTAGCGAAAATGAAACGTTCATATCGCTTAAAACAGACGCGATAGCTGATTCGAACGAGTGATGTTCGACGGTGGCATCCATCTTTGTAATGTAGGCTACAAAATCTGCTTCAAAATCCCAGCGCTGTCGTCATCGTGTAAAGCCCGCCCCAACGTTTCTGATTGGTGCCTCGATTTAGACGGATTGGAAATGGGCTTGAATGAGCTCTTTGCCAGACTAACTTTCAGAGCAAATCTAAATTTGCCGGAAGTTGTCTGGGTTTTCCCAGGCTAATGAAGTCCCACTGATATCTCCAAATGTGTCAACAGGACCAAATATCGTTTGAGACACTTAAAAGAGCGGATTTAGTACTGTGTAATGCTTTAAAACCAGATTGAACCAATCATGGATAGAATTTACAGTCAAATAAGATTGTAATTGAAACCGTACAACATTTGAAACAGACAGAGGAAGAATCAAGTTTTATTTTGTTTTGTTTTTTGTTTTTTTTAGATATGGTGACACCACAGCATATTTCAGGCAGTTAGGGAAGGAGCCAGTAAGTAAGCATTTGTTGATGACCAATAACAGGCCAGGACTGACCGTGTCAATGATTTGTCTAAGGAAAAGAGGCGGGATAACATCCTGGGGACATATAGTTGACTTTAGGTGACCAACAATCTCCTTGCATAAAACAAATCAATATAGACTCGAACTCTGACCACATGGAAGAACATAGTGGAACGTCAAGCAAAGTGTAAGATCTCAGATGTCTAGTCTACTTAGTCTAGTCTTAAAGTTGAAATCGGACCATTTCATGTTCCACTGTGGGGCTGATAACAGAGCTCTTTCAAATGTTATACATATGTCCCTCGTTGTCTTAGTAACACAAGAGTATACAGACAGAGGTTATGAGATGTAAATAGTGACCGCGTTATGGCGAATGATCAGTTATTTTAATCAGTTATTTTATTAAGCACACTTGGCCGGTTGAACGGTTCGTAATCGTGCCTCAAGTGGAAATAAAACTGGAACCATTCCTTGCCGTTCTTAGAAACATTAGGCCCAACGGTGGAGAATCGGCTTGATGCAGTCAACACAATTTGAGAAAATGAAATGAATATGCTGTAGATTTTTTTTTTTAAATCATCACAAATGTGCCGCCTGAACAGCTGTGAGCATGACATAATCTAAATCCCTGCTGATAAACTTCAGACGAGTCTGTTTGATACAGACATTGTTTGGAAGAACTTTGACCCACATTCCTTACCACGTTCTTTTCTGTTTGAAATCTCATCCAGACTAGAAGGCAAACTGCTAAGATAATGACTATATATCATATCTAGCAGTCTGCTAAAATAAAATCTCAATATAAACAGCCAGATGGAGTAGTTAAGAAGAAGATGAGTATAACATTAATAATAACAAACCATTATTTGGTTAATATGTTCACCTGAGACTATATGTACAACATAATAATTCACTAAAATTAAAGTAGGCCTACCAGAAATGTACAATCCCAGCTATGAAAAATATGTTCTAAGAATGTTTTGCTAATGTTCCCATTAAGTTATTTACCGGTAAGTTATAAGAATGCGAAGCATTCCAAAACTAAATGTTACACTAAAACTAAAATGTAAAAAATGTTAGACAATCATCTGACTAAAATGTTAGACAATCATCTGACTAAAATGTTTCAGAAAAAAACGTCCTACCATGTACTACCATGCTTTCATGGACATGCACCATACAATGGTATTCTTTGAATTACTTTGTATAAACACTACGGTACATGGTCATGTAAACCATTAAGTTAAAGTCTCATGTTATTATCATCTGATACCATTGCTATAACGTCTGTTATTGTACTTTTTTGTAATGAGCAATTACTGTATCTCCAATTCATTTTGGCTTATACAAGATACATGCATAAAATTCAACCTTTTATTATTAGCCAGGATGCCTGTCTCTAACTGAGCATATATCTGCATCACCGATGTACCAAAGTGAGGAAACTGTGAATTTGTGTGTTTGGGCATGTAAGTAGGGCATCTAGGCTCTTCAAATTGTACCAAAGCATCAAAACACAGACCGCCAGATTTATTTATAAACGACTTTATGTTTTACACTTCACTTGAACACTCACTCTAAAAACTCCCACATGCTTTCACCCACGGCATCGGAGTGGACTGATAATGTGTCAAGCTCAGGCCCGGATTGGCTAATCGGGAGCACCGGGAGAATTCCCGGTGGGCCGGTCTGGATTATTGGCCAGGAGGGCCGGTGTTGTCATGGCACTGGGTTGAATGCTCCAGTCACAGCGCAGCCCCACTATTTTTTTATTGTTATTTTCTCGCAGCCCCACAAAAAAGTCAGTTGTTAGAGATGTGCGAACAATTGCAATGATTCGCATATTGCGACGATAACCGACCTCATCGGATCTGCTTCAGTAGCTACTCAACACCGCTCGTCGGCAATGGCAAAATGTTTGAGATGACCGATCAAAGCAAGCGGGATGTATGTTCACAGAAGCGCGAGCCGGGGCCGCGCGCGAATCCCAACGCGACGCTTCACGAGATAAGATGCAAGTGGCTAAACTAAACAGCTGTTTTACGATAGAAGTTTTAAACGACCGACATAAATAATCAGTTTGCAAAGACTGTATCAATCAAAGGTAACCTAAAGATAAAGAGACTGAGAGAAGAAGAATGAGAGAAGGAGATCGAGATGAGAGAGGAGAGCAGGAAGAGCAATATTGCATAGTACTGTGCCCAGAAAGATAATAACTTTATTACAATGGATTCCTATTTAACACAGATATACATGTTTTTTGCCAATGACAGTGGAAAAATAATATGCCCCCGAACCCAGATCACTTTTGGGACCTTTGTATTTATAAAACCCTGTGTACGGCTATTGCACTGAATTGAAAATTATATATTTGAAAAATACATTGAATTACAAGGCTGTACAGAACAGTGCACTATTGCAGACTTATATACTGAGGGTTTAATTACATTATTTTAATATAGTCGGTCGGGAACTAAAGTGGGCCGGTCTAAGGTATGAAACTCCAGGGCTGAAAATTAGTCCCACTCCGGCCCTGGTCAAGCTGCATTAATGTGATTAAAGTTCATTGCCTCTTGGTTGAACCGTGGTCTGATTATATACAGAGTCCCACAATATTTAGGGCAGAGGTGACTGTATACAAGGTTCATTATTGGTTGATGATTTGACACGGCATATGTAGAACTTTGTTATGTAAGCTGCCAGCTGGGCATTATAAACGCGTCAAACCAGTTAAAATCAATAGAAAAACACAGCCAGGTGTTACTGCATTGCATTATTATGATTAGGCTATATAAGAAATATATCACATGTTGTTCATCTGTCCCATTTATACTACAAAAAAGTTCATATGAGTAACATTTTGACATTTAGGATGCGGTCACACTGCAGGTGAAAAACAATCATTTCAACAGCAATCAGTGATATCCGCAATTCCACGTGAGGGATGCAAAGGTGACTCGGCTAACGTTATCAGACTAGCTAAAGGTCTGGCAGGGCTCTCCCAAAGTTATGAGCAAACATTCTTCCAGTAATGTTTATAGTATGTTAGTTAAGAGTTATTTTGTCTTTAATAATGTTCTCAAAATGTTTGCACAAATTTTAGTTGCACGTTTAGTTGCACGTGTTTTTTAGAATGTTCAAACCTAACATTCCCATAATGTTGGCAAAATGATCAAATGGAACGACCCCTGGCTTAAAGGGTTAGTTCGACCAAACATTTCTGTCATTAATTACTCACCCTCATGTCGTTTCAAACCCTTAAGACCTTCATTCATCTTCGGAACACAAATTATATTTTTGATGAAATCTGAGAGCTTTCTGAACCAGCCATAGACTCCAATGTAAAAACCACTTTCAAAGACATCGTTAAAATAGTCCATGTGACTACAGTGGTTAAATCTGAGTGCACTTTTTCTTGTTGAAATATTCAGTATAAACACACTATTCACTATTTAAATGGCTTTGAATAGTGTATGTGAATTGACACACACCATATAACCTGCAGAAATAGAAACTGAAAAATTCCCACTACTGATACACAAAATGACGGTCTGTCTGGAACACACAATCAATCGGAGTGAAACAGTGAAAAGTCCTAGTAGCTACTGCGGTTAGTGATCTATTAACATCGCTCTACATTAACTCTACATTATTTAGAAATTCTATTTTGCCATTTGTCTCACATCAGTCCACAAGAACAATATCATATAAGGTTGAAAAGGTCACATTATTAGTTGAGCTTTCTACATTTTTGTCTGAAAGACTTACACAAACAGAATCAGATTGATGATAACACTTTATTACATTCATTTATCTCAACAGCAATAAGAACATGTTTCTGAAATCAAATGCTTACTAAACCAAAGCCGGCCAGTAGATCATGAGGTAGAAGATTTCAAATAGTTTGGTGCTACATATGTTCAGAATATTCACAGCTGACAGGAAAGATGCAAAGATTGTGAGAAGCAAATTGCATAATTTATGTGCACATCAAATTATCTACAAATGAGACACATTCTAAAGGTTGTCCAGTGGGTATTTGGCTTTCTTCATCGTTACAATCATCATTATTGGACCTGATGCATTTTTTACTAAACACAAATAATGTAAACCATATACTTTTTTCCCCGCTGGGTTACATCAGTTAATTTCTAATACATCATCTATACATAGTTTCAATGGAAGTGTGCAAAGCTTTTGATGACTAATTCAAGGACTTGACCTAGCAAGACATTCCTGATATTTCAATGATTATCAGTCCAAGAAGCTTGTTCAATAAATAAAACAATCCCTCGAAAAAGGGATCCATTTTTCTAATTTTAAATAAATCACCCGAAACAGAAACTAATGGGTCCTAGGTAGATTCTTTGTGCCATGGAAAAATAAAAGAATGCATTTGATCTGTGACACATGAGGCTCAAAGTGACTCTTCAGTAAAACTAGCCAGAATCCAAAGTGACAAAAAAGTCTGTCATATATATTAATATCGGCATTTCTTAAAATGTAAACAAAGCTTTTCTTTTAACATCCAAACAGTCATAAACCCCAAAAGATAAACCATTTCTGAACATTCATATTCTTAGACATATAGCTAGCTAGCTAGCTAGTTAGCCATCCTTATAAAATTGGCATTGCCTTTCCTGTTTCACTGATTTTAATTGTCTCTTTTTGGAGTGGAGTTTGGGATTGTGTCGTCATCTTAAGGCATTTACAGTGTGCAACTCCAAAACATTCCCGTCTACTTCAAAATAAGGAATGTTTCGATGAAATATGATGATTAATAATGACCTTTTAACCGAGTGACCTCAGTTAAAGCATAATGAGGTGGTTAATACGTCAGGCATGTACCAACCGCCATTTACAATCATGAACACCGGCACACATCGGCTGTTGCAGGCTGGAATCGAGAAGATCATAAATAGATTTCTTTAGATATAGCGAATGTTGATATCAGTAAGTGAACTTTGTGAGTTCATTGAAACATCCGAACTTTGAATGAATGATTGACAACTCTGAGGAGCACGGAATGTTTTTTTTGGATTACGTCAGGTAATATCTTTGGCAAGATAAAAAGATTTTTAGTTTTTTTCACATGGGTTGGGATTACCCAATGAAATTCTCCCAAGACTACACACCTAAAAGCATCATGTGTTGTCGTGTGAGCTTCCATCTTGAGGATGGTAGATGGCGTTGATGATGAGAACTACATTAAGCAGGCAAAAAGAAAGAAGAGCAGTAGTAAGTCCTTTTGTCTCGAGACAAAAAACCCTGAGATTATATATATATAGAAGGACTTATCTAATGATGTCCTTCGCATTGTCCTTGCGTGTCAGGACACGCCAAATCACCAACAAACAATGTTCTGAAAGCTTTTTCAAAAGGTAAAAAGAGGGAAAACACACGAGGCAAACGCACAACATCTGTATCCAGCACAGTATCTGTCATTTGGACATTTCTTCAGAGTATCTATCCTCAAACGTTGTCCGAGGTAGTGCCGACTGGAGAGGGCCGACTCATTCTCTTTATAAGCAGTTCGAGAGTTATGATGCTGAAAAACATCTTCTCTGTGGCTAACAGTTGAAGGGAAATGGAGATGTGGAGATTAGATATGGCGGCCTGTGAGGAAGTATAGGGGACGGTCCTCGCTGCAGTTGGCCGTCTGAAACTCATCTCGCAAACGAAACTGCCACTCATCCTCCAGCTCCAAACGCACAATAGTCTGACGCAAGGAGCTCCGGTCCTGACAGATCACACACAGCGTGGCTCCTGCAAGATGAGTGAAACAAATAATGATTTAAAGCTTCTTATAGGACCTCATCATGCTTAGAGAGGTGTGCTATTATTGTTATAACAGCTCTGAATTTTTTAGTTCTAAAAACAAGGTTTTGTGTTTGAAATGTGAAGATTAGAGACTAGCGCTCAAAAGTTTGGGGTCAGTAAGATGTTTTTTTCTTTTTGTAAAAAAAATTAATACTTAATACTAGATGCATTAAATTGATTAAAAGTGACGGTTAAGACATTTATAATGTTACAAAATGTTCTTTTGAACATTTGCATTCATCAAAGAACCCTGGAAAAAAAGGTATCATGGTTTCCACAATATTATTAAGCAGCAAACATTTATAGTAATAATAAGCATTGAGCAGCAAATCATCATATTAGAATGATTTCTGAAGGATCATGTGACCCTGAAGACTGGAGTAATGATACTAAAATTCAGCTTCGCCATCACATACATTTTAAAATGTATTCAAATAGAAAACGGTTTTAAGTTGTAATAATATTTCACAATATTCCCGTTTTTTTCCTGTATTTTTTCGATAAGATAAAAGCAGCCTTGGTGAGCATTAAATACTTTTCAAAAAGATTTAAAAATGTTATAGACATCAAACTTTTGAATGTTAGTGTATATTGGTGCTTTTTTTTTTTTTTTTTAATAGTTAAAGTGCCCCTATTATGGTCCTTCGAATATTCCCTTTCATGCAGTGTATAATATCGCTGTTTGTGAATGTAAACGTTCTGCAAAGTTGTAAAGTCGAAAGTACGAGATAAAGTTATCGTCTCCCAAAAGAAAGAATCGACTCAGAACCGCCTAAACGAGTCGTCAGTGATTCGAATCTCACTGCGTGACGGTTCTACGTCACTAGACAAGACATTTGCATAATGCCCGCCTATGTTGGACATTGCACGTTGAATAACTAGTTCTTCCAATGTTTCATCATCGGACTCGCGCTGGGATTGATATGGTAAAATCGACGCCATCGTTGCTATCTTTACAGTGTGAACAATCGCTGAGCTTCAGAAAGAAGCCCCCAGAGCTGAAATTCAGTTATGATAATGGGTGTTGTTTCCAACACGTGCTGTAAGCAGTAGACCAATCACAACAGACTGGTCCATCTGACCAATCACAGCAGAGTAGCTCGCGGAAAGGAGGGATTTAGAGAGACTGAATCTTCGGACGAGTCGTTTGAGAATCATTGAAAATGTGGTGATGTGCGATGTATATTATGAGAAAATTAAAGTGTTTTTTGACCTTTGATGCATGTAAACCTGTTGTGGGAGACCTTCAAAAGAAAATCAGGAACCTTTAAAAATAGCATAATAGGAGCACTTTAATCTTTATAATATTTAGTATATTCCAGTTGTAAGGAATCCAGCCTCACCTTTGAGGAAGTTGAATTTCTTCAGGAGGCTTGAAACGACAAAGGAGTCACACAAGTAGAGCAGCAGCCCACTGAAAACCACGCATTGATGATCCACATTCACAGAGTGAGGCCGCGAGCTCACGTAACACACCTGAATCTGTAAACACAAAGAAAACACGACAACTGAACTAATATGCACAGCAGAATCTGCTTTCAGTCAATAGTGCATCTCCAATTCATTCTTTTCATTCCCTGACCAGTCAATGCTTATTCGTTGATAGTTAACTGTTGTTTTGTGAAAAAGAGCGGCGTGAACTTTCTTCAAAAGTTCTCCTTTTGTGTTTTATGAAGCAAAGAAAAAAAAGCACACAGGTTTGGAGTGATATTTAGGCAAGTAATTAATCAAAACATGTTCATTTTTGGGTGAACAAGCCCTTGAGGTGTGATATTTTTACCTCGGGGCCGAGGTTGAGGTAGCCATCTATGGACAGCACGGGGTTAGCGCTGTTACAGAGGGCCAGAGGAAAGAGACGGTGGCTGCAGGACTGCAGAAACTTCTCCAGCAGGAACTGAGCCGGCGCAGACAGAAGTGTGTGTTCACTGTCCGGAGCGCACACATACTGAGATGCACACACATGCACCGGGGTCTCAATCCTCTGCAGGGAAAGAGACGAGGAGGAAGAGGTTGTTTTAGAGCTGTTAGTCTCTTACAATGGTACTGTTCTGCATAAACAACAGTTTTTAAACCCCACAAAATGTGACAAATAAAAAAATCATAATATAATATAATATACACACTAACATCCAATTGTTTGGGGTCAGTAAGATTTTTAAAATATTTTGGAAAGAATCTCTTCTGCTCACCAAGGCTGGATTTATTTGATCAACATTCAGTAAATACAAGTAATTTTGTGAAATATTATTGCAATTTAAAATAAGTGTTTTCTATTTGAATATATATTAAAATGTAGTTTATTCCTGTGATGCAAAGCTGAATTTTCAGCATTGTTACTCGCATTATTACTCGTCAGTGTCACAAGAAATCATTCTGATATGATGATTTACTGCATATTTCTGCACATTTCTTCTTATTATTATTGTTGAAAACAGTTTTTCTGCTTCATATTTCTGAGGAAACCGTGATACATTTTCCCAGGATACTTTACGGTCACTTTTGATCAATTTAATGCATCTTTGCTGAATAAAAGTATTAATTTCTTTAAAGAAAAATCTTACTGAGCCTAAACTATATCATACATTACACTAATTTATACACCTATATTTAATTATAGAAATTGCACAAATGTAGGCAAACATTGTGAATGTAAATTTCATGGTAAATTTTAGGGAGATATAAAGGTGAATAGGCTTTATGCCGAGCGTCACGTGACCAAACCAGAAAACGGGTCTCATTGCATCCGCTTGTCAGAGAAAGTGTTAACGGCCGTAAGAACTAACTACGATATCTATGGATTTTTAAGGTAATCAGCTAACCTACTAAGTTCACTTTGTTATTGGTGTTATATGCTATTTAAATATCTAACGTTAGTGTGAAGAAGAAAAATTAAAAAACTTTTAAATATCAATCTGCACATGCGAGGGACATTGGTTATGCTCATTTTTGCTTGCTCCTTTTAAGTTATCTTGAGTAAAACCGCAAAAAATTTCATGAAGCACATACAAAAGACCTGAATCGGAAGCGATGTGATCTGTTTTCCGGCTTGGTCACGTGACGCTCGGCATAAAGCCTATTGTTTAAGTTGGCATGTTCAAAATGGCAGCAACAAAATGACAAATGGTTTTGTAGCGCCCACTAGTGAACGTATAATGTAACTGCAGTTACCATTAACTCTATGCTAACAAGCTAATATTAGTGTTTTGTGTGTAATAAGTTTGAAAAGGGCCTTTCTGTTCTGAAGGGACATTATGAAGCTCACCATAAGTTTGGGCTTGATGAGGAAGTCTTTATGTCCTCCGATGGGGATGTGTTTCTTCATGATGCTGAAGTGATTGAACCGACAGAGCAGAAGACCACTGCTGTTTGCCCTCAGGTTGAAGTCCACCTCTTCACATGTGAATCTACATACACAAACACACACGTTCAGTTCAGACTGTTAGACTCTACTTGTTGTTATAATTTACAACAAGAAACACGCTAAAATTCTCCTTAGTTAGCAAAAAAAAAAAAAAAAAAAACTATATGTATGTGTACATACATATTGCATTTTTCCCCCTCAGAATGCAAACACTCACCGGTTGAGGTCATACTGGACGTTCTGAGTGAGGTCAACGTTCAGCATGATGAGGTCATGCAGGTGACAGCGAGAGAAAGGGCTTGTGGGAGCTTGAGAGGACAAACTACTGCTCCATTTCCGCAGGCCACACATGGCATACAGAGAGATCTTAGGAGTGTCCTCCATGTGCTGTAGGACGCTCTTCAGTGACACGTTCATCACCTCACTGAGGGAGACACAGAGAATCCATGGATGTTAGACAACGAAGACATTCTAATTAACAAATCCGTACATGCATCCATCCATCATTCCATACCTGTTGCCCTCAGGTCCAGGCTGATGAGCGTTCCACAGGACGCAGGAGTCATCCATCATAACTATGAAGGGCCACACGTCCTGCCGTTTGACGCCCTGCTCCTCTTGCCTGTTCCTCTCCAGATCCAGGTTGTGGTAGGACAGTTCCTTGATCATGAATCGAGCCGCTCCTGAAACATCACATAAATACCATCAATCACAAAAGGAAGGAACTGTGTGTGTTATAGACAAGCTGATTTTTCCCATACAAAGAAGAAACGCAGCCGTGACCGATTACTCACCCACTCCTGAGTTGTTGAACATGGCGGGCAGCACTAGAAGGATGTGGTTGGGCCAGTATTTCCTGTAGAGGGGCATTTCATACTGCTTGACCACCAAAATGTGCAGGTGCTCGGCTCCCTCCATGGCATGGTAGATGTTGAGAAGCCCGTGCTCTTGGCGGCCCGTTGTGGGTGTGAAGATTGGACTTTTCAGCAAGCCAGACTCCTGAGTCGGTAAACAGAGCAGCATAGTCACTTTAAGACTTGTGCAATTTGTTCAGAAAACAATGTAAAAAAAAACGGGAGTGATGACTCAGCAACCACAGATTTTTGTGCATTGCTCAGGTATCCAGGTGTTCCTTACATCAAGATGTATTTCTAAATTTATTTTGTACTGACCTTGAATGCACGGGGTATAAAGACAGTATAACAGACAGTTGTTCCTGGTCAGTTTTGTGGCTTTCATTTTGTGGCATTTAGTAAATATCCTTTGAAAATCTCCGTTTATGTTTGTCTTAGAATTTTGTCCACTGTTCAGATGTATTTATCTATATTTGTTAGGCATAAGCTACCTTTTTTTTTAAATCTGTAATTATGCAAATTATTACATGATTATCTAAATATTATTTGCAAATTATGATTATAGCCATTTAACTAATTAGCTATTTTGGTGGGCATACACTTGTCTTAATAATAATAATAATAATATATATATTTTTATACACACACACACACACACACACACACACACACACACACACACACACACACACACACACACACACACACAGTACTGTATATACACACACACACACACACACACACACACATATATATATATATATATATATACTATATGCACTGTATACACACACACACACACACACACACACATATATATGCTAAAAATTCAACTTTGCCATCACAGGAATAAATTACATTTTAAAGTATATTAAAATATAAAACAGTTAGTTTAAATGGGAAAAATATTGCATAATAGTTGATAATATTTCTGTTTTACTGTATTTCTATGTATGTATATATATATATATATATATATATATATATATAATCATAGGTATTTTGGAGGGCATTCACTTAATAATAATAATATCATATACTGTATATATAAAATATATATATTAGCTTGCACCCCTTAAAGGGACAATTCCCACAAAAATGAGAATTCTGTCATCATTTACTTGGCCATATATTATTACAAAACCTGTATGCTCATATGATTTCACAAGTCAGTGTCAGAGTTTTTTTTTTTTTTTGTCGTTGTTGTAATTATCCCTTTTGGAGCTTGACAAGTTTTTTCTTCACCAAAAAACAAAAAAAAAAAACAGCACACAGGTTTTTAACAACAACATGAGGGTGAGTAAATGACAGAATTTTCATTTTTGATTTAAGCGACTAACCAAATGTCAAAAAGGCTATTGATTTGTTCTGTGTTATTTGTCCCGCTCCTCTTTAACAAGTACACTAAGCGTGTGTCTCTCACCTTGTCTGAGAGCAGTGGGAGTCGCATGCTCTCTAAGTGACTGCCCTGCTGGCTGAAGACAAAATGAGGCTCTTTGGCTTTAGGAATGATAAAGTGCAGCTGGACTTCCTCTCCCAGCATAGATGAGCAGAATGTGAAGGCGTGGAAGGTGCATTCGGACAGCTAGAATCAGACACAGAACATCTTACTACAGCCATATATCTTTATAGACATGCTATTACTTTATGATCCATCATTTTATGTAAAAATATGTAAATACATGTTGATGCATCACATGATCGATCTGATATGTCCTCACCTGAGCGGCAGGAGCAGGCTCGCTGTAATGGTGGCACTGCTCACAGTGGTGAAATGCATTGTGGGCCGCAAACAGGCTGAGTCTTACAGACACTGTGTTTCTCTTCGGTGGCTCATCTTCTGCCTCTACTCTTTCTATTTTAACCCCTGCGTTTCATGTGCAGATGCAAAACAGCACATGAGCATACTTGTACAATATTTTCAAGCTTTGAAACAAGGGACACCATAATAAAAGAGAAGTTCAATACCGTTCAGGGTCTTTGGCATCCTGTCTGCATACACTGGACTGGCATAACTGAACTTGTGGTCACGGGGGTAGAGGTCAAATGGCAGTTTGTGGATGTCCTCCACGTCAGGCCACTGCAGTCCACTAGCAGGGGGGAACTTTGATTTGTCTTGCACGTCTAGAGAAATAAATTCAAGGTCATTAATGAAAAGATCAAGAGAGGGATGATCGGATGAAGTATTTCAATGTTGTATTTAGAAGCATGGAGAATGCCTTTTGTATGGCTGGGGAAAAAAAGGAAAAGGAAGCTTACCCTCGTCCAGCTCTTCTTCATCATACACGTCCACCTCCAGAAGGCGAATCAGCATACTGAACAGAATTCGTAGAAACTGCAGATACGCACCTGTTTTTCCAACCTAAAACAGAGCCAAAATGGAGAATAAGAAACTGGATGCTTGGCAAAGAGGACAATTAGCATGAAACAGAGGTCATTGGAAATGGGCGGGGCTTAACAACAGACTTTGTCTCTAATTGGTCAGGCACGGTAAATAATAATTCTCCTATTTTGTTATTTTTTGCATATTTGAAAAGGTTCAAAATTTGAACCTTTTCTTAGTATGTTAATACTAAATGTTTAAAATACTTTTAAATGCTAAAATATTTTGTGCATTCTAATATTAATATCACTTTTGACCACTACTAAGAAAGAATACTGTAGGATTTTTTTTTTTACTGTAGGTGTATTTTGTTAAAAAAAAATTGTATATATTTTGCTTAAGTTTTTATTAGTTAAAAGGTTTTAAACACTTAATCTTTAAAAATTTTATAATGTAAAATAATTTTGTATATTTTAACTATATTTTAATAGATTTTTATAGATAAATATTTAGCTTTTTAACAATTCTTTTCATTTTGTGTACTTTAATTGTGTATTCTGTATATTTTAACTATTTGTAAAAAATATTTAATTTGTAACTATTTTTGTATTTAAATTGTGTATTCTGAATATTATACATTTTTTAATTAAATTATTTTGTATATTTTCTGTATTTTAACTGTGTATTGTATATATTTCAACTGCTTTTTAATATTTAGCTTTTTTTTACTATTTTTGCACATTTTGTTTATTGAAAATGTATATTTTGTATATATTTTTTTAATATTTAACTTTATATATCTTTTTTAATTAGTAATATTTTGTGTATTCTACATGTATTTTTGATCACTTTATTGTTATTAAACACCATAGTACCAGTAATAGTGATGACTACCTTAACAAAAACCACCAATGAAACATTATCAAAATACATTTGATTCCCTTTTAACCCGTTTTAAGCTACTTCTCACCTGTGGTGGCCCACTCAGCAGCAGTCTTCTGGGATGCGGCGCAGCCGGCACTTCGTAATCCGCGTGGTGCTGCCTGGCTGTGGTCCACTGGCGATAGTAGAGGGACTGCTCTGCTCCGCCGAGACCGTGAGGAACAGGCGGTCTGAGTGGACTGCTCCACGCCACATCACCGTGAGGCAGCAGAGATGCTGAACTGGGCTGACCCAGCGTCTCAGGGGCCAGCAGGGCGTACGCCGCCCGAGAGAGAACCGCCGTCCGGGGAAAGACCTGCGTCCTGTTACACTCACGTGGAGCCTGCGTGGACTGGCTCGGTCTCTGAGCTGCCGGAGAGGACGAGGACGAGGACGAGGACGAGGAGGCAGAGGAGAACGAGGACGTGGCGGAAGAGGGGGCTGCCTGGGAGTCACACTCCTGTTTGAAGCGAATGGGAGAGGTGCAAGAGTCCATTACATTTCTGCTACCGGACGGGTCGCTGTGCGAGGTGGATTTGTCGAGTACACTTGAAGAACTGACGCCATTTTCTGTGGTAGAGCCTGAGGATTAGATAAGAGACGATTTTATGAGTTATATGAGGACCACACAAGACAAGAATCAGGCTCAACTTGTTTCCAGTGTCACTCACCAGAGGTCCTGGTTGCAGCACTGGCATTGCTGGGTGGTCTTTCCAGCTCCATATGGAGATCGTCATGTTCTGTCGTTTCTCCTGAGCTCCTCTCATCATGTCTCGGTCTCTCTTCTCTACTCGCTGCAGTTTTCGTCTCAGGTATTACTCTGCGTGTCACATACGAGCAGGCCAAACCCACTTCCTGTTCCAGTGCTGTGCGCGTCAGGTAGCTGGAGTCAATCAGCCGCAAGTCACAGTACTTCAGTGACCTGAACAAAAACACACACAAACACGCTCAGTCTGCATGCGACCCTTCAGAAGTCAAAAATACTGTAGTTTAGTTTATCCAGTAGAATCTTATATCGAAAAAAGCCAAACATTTATTGGAATAATGCTACTGGGCCGTTAAATGAAATTACAGGGAAAGAGGTTCGAAAATATCCTGAAAGACTTTCTTTATATTTATATTAAATGTAGCTGTAACAACTGTAGTAACCACAAGGTGGTGCTCTTTTTAACAGAATAAAAAGGGAACCAAAAGACTGGAATGCACTGTGCATCATTTCATTTATCCAGGTCATCGTGAAATGTCAGATAATATTAATATCTCTCTCATATTTGAACTAGATATCTGCCACCTGAATCAAGCCTGAGGAGACTGCCAGGTTTCAAGGTTGCAGTTTTTCATGTATAACTTCAGGTTTGCTTTCAAGTTGAGCAATGTAATTAATGAATTAATGAAAGATGCATTATTATTTTAAATTTGAAAATAATTAATATTTTTTACAATAAATAAAATATTTTTTTTGTTTCAAAAATGTATTTTTTAAAGATAATTGTTATTTGTGTTAATTTTATGTAAGACCAATTTAACGAAGTAAAAAAAAAAAAGGTTTTTACCAGAAAGATGTTTTAATGTTTTTGAACATCTTATGCTCACCGATGCTGCATTTATTTGATCAAAAATACAATAAAAACAGTAATATTGTGACAATTTAAAATAACTGTTTTCTTTTTGAATATATATTAAAATTTAATTTATTTCTGTGATGCAAAGCCGAATGTTCGGCATCATTACTCCAGTCTTCAGTGTCACATGATCCTTCAGAAATCATTCTAATATGATGATTTGGTGCTCAAGAAATGTTTCTTACATTATTAACATTGAAAACAGTTGTGCTGCTTAATATTTTTGTTAAAACTGTGATACATTTTTTTTCCAGGATTTATATGCGTGCGTGTGTTTAAAAATATAACATCACAGAGTTGGCATGGAATACCTTGGGAAGGTCTCTCCTAGAGGATCTTTTCCTGTGAGGATGACAATGCATGGAAGTCCTTCCAGATCTTCATATGTTTGCGGGACCCACTCTTCATTTTTACAGCCCCTCCAAGCCTGAAATGCACATATTATTTATTCCATATTAGTTTTGGAGCTTCCGAGAGCAGATTTTGTAGGAGCACATCCTCACGAGGGGATCTGGTTCTTACCCGCAGGCGGGCACAGAAGTGGACGGGCAGGCTGATCTCCGCAGCAGGGCTTCCCAGCAGCACTGCAAAGCGGTACTGTAGCCCCAGCTTGTCCCGGGCCTCTTCCAGCCGCTCCTGCGCCAGCCGTGCCAGCTGCAGTGAGGGCACTCGCACCAGCAGCATGTGCCCGCACCCGTGCCTGCTGCGTCCCGGCACGCTCAGCAGATCCTCCACCATGGCGAGCGTCTGAGGGGTCACGTGATCCCGCAGTGAGGGGGCCGCTGTGAGGGCCATCAGAGCCTCTGTGTACTGCTGGATCAACAGGTAGCTGCGGATCACCATACTGTGCAAATGCGGGTGCCTGAAAACAATGAGGAGGGATAAACTTGAACGTGGCTCTGAGATGAACTTAAAGCTACAATGACATGTTTACAGTGTAACGAGCAGTTAAAAGGGAAGGTAATTGCCATTTTGTTGTTGTATTTTCATTTTCGACATAGCTGTGTGAATATGAAAAACGGACTGACCTCTGCAGCAGGGTTTTGACCATCCGCTCAAAGGCGTCGTCACATCGAAGGATTGGACTTGCCACTCCCCACTGTAGGGACTTGCTGTAGTCCTTCAGCCCAAAGTAGACAAGGTCCTTAGGAGAAGCCTCACCCTGCTGTTACATGCAAACAACAAAATCTAAAATTTTAGTTTACTGAGCACAATCACTGCAGCTGGCACATCTATGAATAACAACGATAATGTATCTGATGAATGGGAATTAATATCCTACCGCAATGTTAAATATGTGATTGCTCTGCGAGTTGCTTTACCGATTATGTGAATTTTGATAAAAGCTGCTGAAGTAAAGATTTATTTTGTAGTATCGAGTGTTGTAATTCGCTTCAAAAATTCCTGTGATCTAATCTCTGCACCACAGAGCACAGAATGTGCTGGAAAGGCATCAAGAGTGAAGAAATGTAAACGTTGACGGCCACTTTTTACCCTTTACGAAAATACCAAAAATTAAAACATTTAATTAAATAAAAAAATTCAACAAATATGTATGTTAACACATATTTAAGATTAGGGCACAAAATATAAAAGTTTCAAATAAAAAACATACTGATTGACCAATAACTGTTTTCTATTTTAATAAAATGTAATGTTATTTTTGTGATGGTAAAGCTGAATTTTCAGCATCATTACTTCAGTCTTCAGTGTCACATGATCCTTCAGAAATCATTATAATATGCTGATTTGATGCTCAAGAAACATTTATTATTATTATCAGTGTTGAAGACAGTTGAGCTGATTATATTTTTGTGGAAACCACAATAAAAAAAATTCTGAATCTTTTGACGAATGAAATTAAATTCAAAAGAACAGCATTTATTTGAAATAGAAATCTTTTGTAACACTATAAATGTCTTTACGGTCACTTTTGATCTTTTGACTCTTTTCATCCCTACAGAATTCATATATCTTACTGACCGCAAACTTTTCAACGGTAATGTATGCATGTACACTTACTGCTTACAATGCTCATCAAAATCTGATTTATCTGAAATCTTATCTTTCCTCCATAAATTCCTTAACAGATCTTCTCGGAGTCAGTGAAACTCACCAGGTTCTCAGTGTTGGGCCAGTGCACTTCATTCTGGGTACTGATGCGTGACTGACGGCTCTGCAGGGTGAACGGGAAGCAGCTGACCTGCAGCACCAGCAAATTTATTGCTTCCAGAACCTCTGGACAGTTCACCACGCGGTCGGCCAATCCCTGCAGCTCCCCGTGACAAACCGACCCTGACAGAGCGCTGGCGGAGAGAGAGAATAAAGACAAGAGGTGTCAGTGACGTTTCTGACAGATCTTATTACAAACCACGTAGTTGTGTTTCTCACCTGGTCAGGTCGACGTGCGAGTTGTCGTGAATAAGGACGAAGAGCGTATAAGGGTTCTGCTTGACCTTCCTCATGAAGGCCTCCATTTTTGTGTGGACCTCCGCGTCCAGACGCACCACATACTTGTCAGACTTCTGTAGGGCGAATGAAGCGTCCTCTATACCCAGATCTATCAGGACGCCTAGCAAAGACACAAGGACAACAACAATGTACAATATTATTGCAATGACTCTTTCATCACATTACCTTTCCTGGCAAGGTTTTTGAAAATGTTCTTTCAATGTTTTTTGGTTTTTTTTTTTAAGTCTTGACATTGAAAACAAGTTGAATATTGCTTAACTCTTCTTTACCGACCATTGACAAGATTTTCTGTCATTTATGACACAACGCTTCCCTGCCATTAAGGAGTTTTTCCAGCAATCCATGTTTTCACTGTTATTCGGTAAGGTGCGTGATATAAGCTAATGCGATTATCAAACATTCAACAACATATAAATCAAAAATGCCTAACGTTACTGAATGAAATGTCGATCCAGGAAGAGGTACATGACTGTGAAGCTTTGGGGGTGTTCTGAATCCGATCCGGATGACTCGATTTTCTCAGCTTTTTGTTGAAAATGTTGCTTTTTTATGAAACTTACCCACGTTCAAGTGTTGATAAAAAAATATACATGAAGCTGAAATGGGTTTTCTTGTTTAAAAGCAGATTCTCTGTTCTTTATTTTGACATATTGAATGTTCAGATTGTTCAGACATTTTTGTGAAAAGGATCAAAAATGCTGACACTGACTGGCAACTTTATGAAAAATAAAAATAAAACGTTGGCGGGGAAAGAGGTAAAATCGGCTATCTGGTATCTTCTGCTGTGACGTACCTGATAGTCGTATTCGCTGGACTGTTTGGTGAACCAGGACGTGGGAGGGCGGGACCAGAATCAGGAAGTCTACCTTGCAGAAGCGGCCCAGATCTAAGCTCTGGCTCCCTGAGTCAGCGATAGCACACACCTGCGACAAAAGACTACGTGCAACGCTCAGCTGAGGAGGATGTATCTGAAAGCCATCACTCAGAAGATCTGTAACACACATCAAACGTCAAGCAGCATTTCCAAGATTTCAGTGTCCAGATGAAAGCGCAAATGAGTCAAACATTCATTTGGTCGCCCATTGAATCTGGACGACCAAATGAATAGTCTGAGACATAGGGAGAGAGCAAAGGCTCACCTGGCCCTGATTCTGGTACCATGGCTGCAGCCTCTTGGGAGTGGATGTATTCGGTGAGATGTCCCTGAAAGGGCTGAACCACCCGGTCTTTGCATTTACGCTGGTACCGAACCAGCTGTTTGTCCATGTTGTCGCCTGTAACACCACAATCAATTTGAAATTAATAAAGACGACACATACACATACTCCCTTTCAAAAGTTTAAGGTCAAAACTAACAAAACATTTTTTTTTCTATTTTTAAATAAATGCTGCTCTTTTGAACTTTCAATTCATCAAAGAATCCTGAAAAACCGTATAATGGTTTCCAAAAAAATATCAAGTAGCACAACTATTTGATAATAATAAAGAATTTTAAATTAACATTTTAATAAAAGAACATTTTAAATTATTTCAAATAAAAAAAATATATATTTTAAATTGCAATAATATTCCACAATATTACTCTATTTTTGATCAAATAAATGCAGCCTTGGTGGACATAAGAGAATTCTTTCAAAAACATTAATAAATCTTACCGACCTCAAACTTTTGAACAGCTGATAAGAGTCCATTTCACTGTGCAATAACTGGACTAACATCAACAATCCAAAATTTGACTTACCTTTCAGTTTATACATTTTGAACAGTGTGGTCTAGAAACATAATTTTTTCCTTGATTCCTTGGGTCGTGTTACGTTTGGTCAAAAACATGTTATGGTCAATTTATAGCCTTTCAAATACTTCCTAAAATCACCAGAGAGGGCGCAATGACCACACAAATCTACTCCAGCTTAAAATATCTGACCACTTGCGTGCTTCACCCCAGAATTGCTGCTTGCATGTAGATTTTTTAATTAATTTCTAAACAGAGGACACTGATAAGTTGATGAAATATGTGATGGATTCCACTACATTTGTGGGGTAAGACTCACCTAATGAGGTGCTTTGGAAGTGTGAGGCAAGCACACTAACTTTCCCTGTGATGAGCTCATAGCTGATCTCCTTCAGAAACTCATTCGTAGTGAGCATGCTCTCAGCCAAGGCCCGAGACTGATATTTACCTAAGAAAAACAACAGCACGTGTTAACATATAAGACAATAACAACAACAACAACAAAACTTACAGCTTATGGAATGAGTTTTCATGCACAACCTGACATTGTGTAAACTCCTTAAAGGGATAGTTCACCCAAACATGACAATTCTGTCATTATAATAATATTCAAACCCATAGGACTTTCATTCATCTTCGGAACACAAATGAAGATATTTTTAATGAAATCTGAGAGATTTTTTGTCCCTTCATTGAAAGTCTATTCACCCAAAACTCTGATGCTTCATAAAGAGATCTCTCAGATTTCATTAAAAATATCTTAATTTTGTGTTTTCCCGAAGATGAACGGAACATGGGTTTGGACCGACAAGAGGGTGAGTAAATGATGACAGAATTGTTATTTTTGGGTGAACTATCCCTTTAAATGGCATTCTTATATGGTGCAAAGTTCCAAAATGGACAAAAATGAAACTATGAACTGAGAATGAAGTATCTGAGAGCAGCAGAACCTACCCAAGACGAGCACACAGAACTCATTTACTCCACTTTTGGTGGTGCAGATAATGAGCACATAGTTGGGCAGACACTGCTGCTGCTGCGGTGGCGTTTCACTCAGAGAGCGCAGCGACTCAGAGATGCCCTCCCCTAGGGAGCCGTGGGTGGCCAGCACCTGAACGCTGCCTCCTGACACACTGGCCTCCATTCGGGCTAACCAGGGCAGCTGGGAGGGCGACATGGGAGGGCCGGTCGGGCCGCACAGCATGGCCTTCAGCACAATCTGCTCAAACTCTTCCCGTAACGGGATCTGCTCCGTACCTGCATTAAAGACAGAAAAATAATAAACCATCCACTTGTTTCCGACGCACTTGTTTCAGACGCTGGGATCCTTCTGAAGTCTGTACAGAGATGCAAACTAGCTGTTTAAACTGGACACGTAAAAGCAAAAGGTCTTTCACTCTCTTCCATTTGTCCACAAACTGAATGCACATCTATATACTGTATCCAGTGTAGACAGCGTTAGTGATTATAATGGGTTCTATTTACTTTTGATGCGACACAATGCTCCCATCCAGTTTAGGCAAATGAATGCCAGTGGGCGGGGCTTAAGGTGCGATGATGTATAACTAACTATTCATCAATGTCTTGTTTTCGGAGGCAGTCAAATGCAAATGTATTTGCCCGTGTGATGTCACAGAACTCGCAATATCAAAACAACAAAAAAGGCAAATTTGATTTCTTATGTCATGATGACCCCTTTAAAACGTATTTTCAAAAATGATTATCTTTGTTCTGATAGGTATGTGAGTATTATTTACCAAGTCGAGCAAGATATTGAAGTGTGAGCAGTATCATGGTCTCTGTGGTGAGTAACTGGTTTGCTGACATGCCCAGACTGGCGAGGGTCTTCTCATTGAGCTCTCTGCCCTTATAGCAGCTCACCAGTAGGGGGCTCACCACCAGATCACCCACATTGCCAAAGAAGTACGGTAAAGTGCCTTGACCTGGAGAAGAAATTCAAACAAACCATGCGGTCACACACACATCCAAACAGTTATTCGGGACAAAGACGAACTCGAGAGATCTGGTTATATTGTGTGCTGCTGTGATGAACCCATTTCTGTAAAACTGGCCTGGATGTGAAGATATCATGCATTATTATTTCTTATTTCAGATCATGCTAGATCAATCAGCAGAAATAAGAAATAATAATCAAGAATATTATCAAGATTATTATCAAGAATAATATTACTCATGCCCATTTAAGATGTAGATGAACTACTTTAAAAGCAAAAAATAAATAAGAATCATGCCTACTTAAGATATTTACTTCTTTACAAAGTGGTTTTTATTAAAAAAATATACTATACTACTACTACTACTACTAATAATAATAATAATCAAGCATCAATCCTACTTATAATGTAGATTAACTACTATACAAAGCAGTATTATTAAAAATATATTATAAAAAAAATAAAATAATAATAGACCATCATGCCTTCTTAAGATTAACTACTTTAAAAGAAGAAAGAAAACGAAGAAGAAATACCAAGAAATAACAAAAAAGGACGATGCCTACTTAATAAGATATAGATTGCCTGCTTTATATTTTCCTTTCAAGAATTTAATTATTTTTATAATGATATTAGGACAGTTGCATCACTCTGACATTTTTACTTTATGCCCAAAAAAATATCATAATATTAATTCATAAATTCAAAACATTTAATAAGAATGTTTTGAAGACAGAGCACTAACCAATGAGAAGGACTGGCCGGACCCCGGATGAGTTCAGAAGGTTGTCAGGAATGATGACAGTTTCTCCCGCTGTGATTGGTTGGGGTTGTATGACCCCTGACACTGATGGAGGCTGTTGATTGGACAGGGACAATAAAGAACCTGGAACGAAGGAGCAAAACATTAAATGTATGTATTTTTTTTAATGGAACATATAGCATGTGCTGTCAAGCCATTGTGGAATCCTAATGATATTTTGGACGGATCTCTTCAGGCTCTCAAGCTTTGTTAACGGAGACACTCCAATCAATGCTGAGGACAAGGTAACTAAGCTACAGGATCTCCAAGCTCCACTCCTTCAGCTGTTTCAAGGCATAAACCCTTCAAGCTGCTGCTAAACAGTTCAGGGACTAATTTAGCGTGACCTTTCACCCCTATTTTTATGGAAACAATGAATAAATCAACCTTGTGGATGGAATATGTCATGTCTCTTGGTAAAAGCGAAGGTAATCAAATTCAAGGCTGTTTCCTGCTCTGGGACATGCATAAACAGATAGGATGAACAGACTGCAGACAACCAGCATAAAAAAAGAATAACAACAAATGAACAAGGCTAAGTATGATTAGGTCGGACCCACCAGAGCTGCACGTCAGCGGTCGGATAGCAGGCACAGGGACAGCCGTGGCTGGGACGGGCACTAGAGAGGCGGGGTGCCAGCTACGGTGGCGCTTTTTGGGCGGACCTGATGCCATAGCAGAGGATGCTGCAAAAAGAACAGATATAGAATCGAAAATATTTGTTATCATCAAGAGAATCATTTCATTTTATATTTTGACCGAATGCAAATTGCATAGTGTAAACATTTGAAGATGCCTTCTAAAAACATCTAATTAGTTAAAATAGACTATTGCTGTTAAGTATCAGCCAGATGATTTGACCACTAATGACATGCATGAGGCAGCATTGTGATTGGCTGGTTTGAATCTTACCTGGACTGTCTCCAGGTTCTGTGGCCCTATAGCCATGATTAGGTGTGGCGAGTGGGCTTGTATGAGGGGGGCTCAGAAGACTGGACCGCCCGTCCATACTCAGACCATTAGTTAGACCGTTTACTCGGAGGGCAGTGGGAACTGAACAACAAACACATGTTGGGAATTAAAGAAACAGTGGGAAGAAAATATAAACACTCTACCATTCAAAGTTTTATGCTCATCAAGGCTGCATCTATTTGATCTAAAAATACAGTAAAAACAGTAATATTGTGAAATATTATTACAATTTAATTAACTGATTTATATCTGAATATATATTTTTGCAGCTATATATATATACACACACACAAATCATACATACTTAGGATATAGATTAAACATATTTAAAAGTGTTTTGTTAAAATCTTGAAAAACAATTCAGACTAAAATGCATTGAAGAATTGCCCAAGTGCCCTGAGGGGTGTGATGTTTTACACATCATTGGTTAATGTCCACTTTTCTGGTGAAACACTATGCAAACTCCACAACCTACACACAAGCACACAATCTCAATAGGGAGAGGAAAGCATTCTCGCTCATTTCTAAAAGAGAATGGGTCCTGGGGAGCGCAGTTTATTGATTTCCTTTAACTGATGGGATATTGATAATGAACTGCTGGGCTACTTTTACATCTAAAATTCCTGACACATACACAAATAGAACACATATGTGTTAAACGTCAATCAAAGGGAATTTGAAGCGTGGGGTGACATTAAATCCCTTAATACAGCATTCTGATCTTATATTGATTATTTTGGAGTGTGTGAGTGTGTGTGTGAGTGAGTGTGTATGTGTTTGCAAATGCATCCAACACAAATGACCTTCATTAATTCTGTCCTTTTGTGGAGAAAAACAAACAATGAAGCAGCTAACAACATTTGAGCCACGAAGTTGACCATAATTAGGCGGCTGCTTAATGCTAAGGCTGAATGTATAGTGTGGTTTGTTCAAATCTCTAATGAGAAATCATGACATGGTGATGTTTTCTTTAGCAAACACCACCAATTAACAAGCACACTGAATTGCCAAATTCTACTGACTAAATTACTAATCCCTCAAAATCATTGTAACAACTGCTTGCGTTGAACGATTCAAAAGCAAATAGTACTTGCATTTAAGGCTTTTTAGCTTTGCATTATGAGCAATCAATGCTACTTTAAATTCAAAATGAGGACAAATATCTGGTACCGATCGGTAATGTCTTGGTCCCGTGAGTCGGCGTGTTCAACGGTTTGAGGAAGCCCAGCTCTGGGGGTCCAAAAATCCCTGAGGATGAGCCAGATTGCAAGCGGGCAGGAGGCGAGTCTGTGGATCAAAGAACAACTTATTATGAATGCAGCATTACTTTTTTACTGCAAATGGGAAATTAAGAAGATATTGATTTCATAATTTAGATGAAAGACCAAAATTCGTTACATTTGGTTTCAATAATAAGCCCTTCTCCTATTTTTTGAATGGTAAAAGACTGTTATCGTCACTAATGGACGCACTCTGTGGCCAGCTGCCCGGCCCTCTGAATGGTGTTGTGAGGAAGAATGAGACAATGACTTGCTTTCTTTCACCAAACACTGTTGGGTAAACACTGTGTGGCCTCCAGCCAGATGTCACCAAATGCTGAGTAGCCCCCACCCCCGTACGTACCCTCCCCCAGAACAGAACATGACCTCTGTGCATGCAGGACTAAGCAGAAACCAACAGAAGATGGACATCCTCCCTTGGACAGATGCAGCATGTGTTGTCTTACACTGGACCTCCTATGAGTGTGTTTTCATCCTTTTTTTTAAATACTAGAGAGCTTTTAGAAGACTGTGGCACACAATATTTGATGGTCGACACCTACACTCACCTGAGAGGGGGAAGGGAGATGGACTGTGGCCGTTTGTGTCTCCATTTTCTTTGCTGCTTAGTGAGGATGAAGAACTAGGCTTGGATGAAGAAGCACTGCCTGAGAATGGCCGTGTCTTACAATCTGTGAAATACAACATGTATTAAATGTCGAGTGAACCATCGTTCTCTGTCGAATCAAAGAGGTTTAGTAACAACTTTATGTTTTTTTTTTTTCATTGTTACAGGTCTGGTATAAGCTGCAGATCATTTCAGGGCCTATTTTCCCAATTCAAACAATTTTGTCTGTAATTTATATGGAAGAAATCATGAATTATCAAAGTATCAATTTGAAATAAAATACAAATGCAAATAAGTTTGAATTGGCAATTAAATAGATATTTAAATTAACTTTGTAATAACTTTAATGAATTTTACTTTTTAATAGAGAGGTGCAGGTATAACGTCAGAACCCGGAAGTCAAATTCGTCCCTGGTTCCTTCGAGGTTTTATAATAGGGGTTTTCGGAGGTCATAATTTTACTTTACTTTGATGTTTTGTTCAACAACGCAAATTACACACACCCATAGTGAAAACGCGAATTTTGAAACAGTTATGTTCATTTTTGAAAATGTACGTTTTTAAATAAGTATTTAGGTAAGACAGCTTTGTGTGTGAGTGTGTGCAGTGTACGTTGTAGAACAAAACGTCAAAGTATCATCAAGTTATGTTTACCACAGACTTTATTTTACTCGTAAATAGGAAAACCCCATAGGAAAATCACAAAGGGATCATTAGCGAATTAAACTTCTGGGTTCTGACGTCATACCTGCAACACCCTATTAATTTAATTTGCAAAATTTAAGCAAAATATTTAACAAAAAATGTAATTAAGAAAGAATATAACAAATATGGAAAATTTGGAAATTATCTTAATATCTTAAGAAATAATCCATTATCCGTTTATTAATTTGGAAATAAAACACAAATGCAAATAAATTTGAATTGGCAATTAAATAAGACATTTAAATTATCATTTAAATTAAATTACATTTAATACATTTTTAACTTCAATATTTGAGCTTATTTAACATTTAAAAATGCAAATAATTTGGAAATTATCTTTAAATACAACCTCTTAACTTATAATGCAGGTCTATGGTCACCACCTCAAAGAGCATGCACAGAGAAGTCCAAATTAAACATGATTTAATGACTCGTAAATGTAAGTACACATTGATGGCCTAAGACACGAAACGAGCGGTTTGTGTGAGAAAACGAACATTATTTATATCGTTTTTACCTCTTGTAACCACAGCCACGTCCAAGTGATCTGAGGGCGCGGGCGCTTCGGTCTGCGCAAGTGCCGGAAAGCGCCAGAAGTGATCGTGTGTACGTCACTCATTGTTTACAGAGATTTCGGAAATGTTACCTTTCACTGTGAAGATCTAAACATATTTAGATATACAGGAAATCGCAATGGAAGACGATTTCGATATATCAACAGACAACGTTGAATTTTTTTCGCAACCGTGCGAGAGATCACTTCCGGCGCTTGCGCAGACCGAAGCGATATCACACAAAAACGATATAAATACTGTTCGTTTTCTCACACAAACCGCTCGTTTCGTGTCTTAGGCCATCAATGTGTACTTACATTTACGAGTCATTAAATCATGTTTAATTTGGACTTCTCTGTGCATGCTCTTTGAGGTGGTGACCATAGACCTGCATTATATGACGGACAGACAAGAACGGTTTGACCTAAAAATATCAAAATTGAAACTACTGCGGAAACAAAGACACCTACATCTTGGATGCCCTTGAGGTAAGCTAAAACATACCAAAAATGTATTTCAAAGTGAACTATCCCTTTAATCCATTTGCGAAGTAAGTTATCCTCGGACACAGTTAATCATGTGAATTTAAAACTACATTTTAAGGACGCATCACACATTATCTGTGCCATGCAACGTTTTGCAAACGCCTGTGGTACCTTTCCAGCAGATGAGGGCTCCCTTGCACAGAGCACCCTGAGAGTTCTTCACCAGGTAGTACTTTAAGTGCTTCTGCTTCTTCGGCTGAGTGGATAACTTCAGGTTAATGTGGTTGGAGAACTCTGTGAAGTAGCGGAAACCTTTCTCACCACAGCCTACACAGTTCCCTGAAAACCCTGCATAAATACACAAACATACATCACTATGTGCCGTGTAAGACTGAAAGACTACACAACAAACTGAAAACTTTTTGATCAACATCTCCACTGTATCCTGTACTCTAACGCTGTAACAGGCAATCAAATGATAAATCACCTCTCTTTAGTCCAAAATCCATCTATATACTAAATATCAAATGAGTTCTGAATGGCCTAGTTTCATAACATTTCACAGGGACAATGAGATTTGTAGAATAAATTACTTATTTAACTTCATCCTACTGATTGGATCACCAACCTAAAAGTGCATTTTTCCCATTCTCATCTGGCAGGAAGCGCTTGTCCACTGCACAGACGAGGATGTGCTCTGGGATGCTGGGCGATTTGGCACCAACCAGCTCAAATCCTGCGGGAACCTCGACAGACTCTGTTGCCATGGAAACCAGGCGTAGATCCTTTCCTGCTTGACAGAAACCTGGACACAGATGACTTGAGTCAGCGATATGATGAAGACCGGCCATGTTGATGTAGCTAAATGCACGATGATTCACGGTTTGCACAATGTTTCAATGCCACTGTCTCAAGTCTTGCAATGTCATTACCATACATTTCCCCTTGACACTGACTTGACACTTTGGCAGTTTGCTCTGTTCATAACACCCCGCTTTCATAAGGCTTCAGAAGACCTGGAATATATGGCCTACGGTTATGGTACTTTTTTGGGGGGTTTTGGGCCAATTCAGCATGTAGAATAGTTATCGGGGCCGTCGGTGAGAGAGAGATCTCTGTTTTGGCTGTTAGCGAACGAGTCAGTGCACAAGAATAAAAGTGAAAGGGACGAAAGCGAGCATAGAAGTCAAGACCGTACAGACAGAAAGCTGTTACTATTTTACATCAACTGAGCATTCAAATGCAGGAATATTTTCATAATAACAAGAGCGGACTGGAATGAAGAAACCGCATGATTGATATTCAAAATGGTAAGCAAGCACTGCTTTATTTACAGTTTCGGTTTCCCTTTTTGAATGATGGAAATAGACTATTGATACCTGCTGATATAGACAGATATTAGCATATACGCAGGCGCAGAACACACATGCTAGTTGACAGTCGCCTTTAGTCATTTTGGTGTGTTCAAGCGCAGCTTTTTGGCCGAGACGAAGCCAACGAGAGGCGACAACACATTCGGCTTTCATCACCGCTAGTTCTTTGACATCGGGCTTTAGTCCAATATCACCAGTTTGCAATATCGAGCAGCATAACAGACTGATTTTGTACAGCTAACATAACTGGAAGTGGCACCGATGACAGTCTTGCACATTCAATTTAAAAATGGCCACACCTACTCTTACATTAAAAAAGAAGGTTGATAGAAAAGGTCATATGGGTTTGGAAAAACATGAGGCTGGTGAGTAAATTATGACAACTGTTTTTACCATCAACAGTGCAGCAGCCATCAGGGGGAGGTCCCTGCAGGTAAGGCAACGGTGGACTGCTGGTGTCTGAATCTTCCTCCTCGTCCATATCATCAACGGAATTGGAGGACTGGCAATTCACCAACACATGGCTGGGTGGGTCGGACCTCAGACTCAGGTTCATTTTGGGCTTAATATCTGGAGGGCAGAACCAGGAACAGGTGTGCTATTGCTTTACATATACACACACACACATACATACATATGAGCTTTTTAATGAACGTAATAGTATTTTTTAAGGAGAGGATTTTCAAAAAATGTGTCAAATAAGCTCTAATACTATATTATTGATCTGCCTTACTTAAGGTGGACGTTGACGCAATTTTCTTTTAGAAACAAACTTTGTTATATTATTTTCATGTTATCACTGTGAAGCTGCTTTGATACAATCTGTATTGTAAAAAGCGCTATATAAATAAAGGTGACTTGACTTGACTAATACCAAATCATGATCAATTCGTGCGAAGGCAAACTATTTGATGGCCTTGCTTACCTTCCAGGTTTCCAGAATACTGATCGGGCTCGAGATACAGCTGTGTGAACACAGGCTGTGGATCACCACTGCTCGATCTTAATGAAGCCTCTATAGAGTTGTGTAGAGCTTCTTCAAAGCGGGCAGATTTTAGTTGCCCTGCGTATGAATTCCCCATGATCTGAAATGAAACATACTCATTTTGTTTAAATCTGTTTAAACACACACACATCACGATTGGTTCAGTTTTGTTTTGAACTCGTAAAGAAGAACATTTTTATATCTTCAAGGGATTCCATTTATAAAGAAGATGAGAGGGAAGGAGACATTAATGTAATGTTCTGATGGACTGCGTGGAGGAGATTTCAATTCCACCCTGAACAAGGCTATTTTAGTCTTTCGTAGAATAGCCCTTGAAACCGTTTCTAAAACAACCATCCTTAGGACTTTTCTGCAGACATACAAACTATAAAATGATGAATCGACTAAAGAAAAGTAAGGAATATTGTACTGTCAGTAAGTCATAAACACAAAATAAACTCTGATGGGATCATCAAGTCCTTAATGCTAATCTGAAGGGTCTTACATCGCCTTTAAAGGGTTTATTTAGAACTAATTAAGCTAACTGTACATTATCCCAGAGATATGTCACTGCAGACCGGCACAGTTGACCAATAACAACTGGGTATACCAGAGAGACATGAAATAAATATTTTAATAAAAATAATGAATAACCGTACCCATTTATTAAAAGTAGTCCCTGACAATCTGTCATGTAATACAGCTGTTAGCATGTAACTAGCAACTTTTACCCTTGAGCTACACATCAGGTATAACCATGACATCTGTTAGACCATCTGCTCTGCATTGACGCTTTCATTTGCACTTCTGATTGCATTTCCTTTACAACAAAAGCTCTGTTTCTGTTTGTGATCTGGACAACAATCAAGACAGCAACTTATGACAAATGAGTTTGTCATCATCAGTGACTCAGCAAGGCCACATAAAAGAGTTCACATAAAAACCCTCAAAGACAGACAGCTCACATATTTGATAATTAACTACTTGTATAGAACTGCAACAACATATAAAACATCACATTTGGACAAAACATCACATTTGGACAATTTTAGCAATATTCATATGTTTAATTTGCTGTTATCATAGTGAAGGAAACCACTGTACCTTTGATTATATTTCTTTAGCAGTAGAAGGACAGGATCACCTCTTCTCCATGGTATATCAAAGTTGAACCACAGTACTCCTGCACCTACAGACATATGACAAATGGTCAGACACAAGGCAAGTTTCATTTACAGTATAAATACCATATAAATTAACATATGGCACATAACTTGTTTATATATTGGGAAAACAAAGCCAAAATGCACGAGAGATTTGATACTTGTTGAACTGCGCATTGCAAGTATTGCAGCATTAGAGATTGGGATTATTTTGATTTAAATGCACTGATAGAAGAATTTAATATGGTATAAATCAATAAGAATAATTTTTAGTAAGTATTAATCCATGCATCATCTCAGATCAGACAGTTGTTTGTTAAGTAGAACAGATTGCACTGCACTGATCTTCAACATATGTAGCTGTTAACTGATAACACTGAGGGATGAGTTATATGACTCTATGACCTCAAGGGAATGTTTGTGGAACGCATAGGGGAAAGGAACTCCACGTCTCTTACTTCCAGGCTTACACAAAGACTGATGGGACATGTTTTGTTCTTTTGGCCTGGTTAAAACAAGAGTGAAATGCAGTAAAGCCATCAATCAATCAGGTAAATACTTCTGTCAAGAGTATCCTGAATTTGCAAAGAATATATGACCTGCACACTTTTGAAAATCAGAAAATAAACTATATATGGGGAATTTCTATTATTAGTTTAAAAAAATCTAGGTTACAAAATCGATTTGTCTGTAAATATACCTCTACCAAGTGACACCAGGATTTGTCTCAAAATAAATACTGTTACAATTAATATATATTATGTCTGTACTTATTTGAAAAATAAGTGCTTTGTGAATGATTACCAAGAAAATCAGATCTAATTGAGATTGCAGTCCTAAGAGGCACGTTACCATCAGATCCACTTGAAAAAGCTTCCTCTATAAGAATCCGCAATGGATTTGGATCAGTTTTTTGGATAAAAGCAAAGGAAACAACGATTAACACGGCAAACTGTTGGTGGGATAATGCATGGTTTGTGTGGACAACAAATTGCACACCCTGTTTTACAAACAGCTCACTGGAGGCCTGTTGGGCCAAGTTTTAGCTAATCACTCATCTTGGTACTGTGGTAAACAGAGGCAAATTGAAGTACCTGAGCATAGTTCTGTCCTGCCTTCAGGGCTCTCCGGGTCCAGTTTGACTGCTAATGATATTTAGGGGTGTTAAATGCTAATGTGGACAAGCCTGCAGAGAGCCCTGCCTTTAGGCCAAGAGCTGTTTCAGCTCAAGTCACCTCTTACTGCTTCCATATATGTTTTCAATTTGCTTTCTAATTCTGTCTGATTATCCCTACAATGCAAATATAATCTGATTATCCCTACAATGCAAAATGCAAAACTGTCAAGACACAGATTTGCATTTAAAAATAGAACCAACTGCCCCCCCCCCCCTTTTTTTTTTTTACAAGAAATTGAAGATAATTAATGTAGTTAAATTCTGCTAAAAACAAATATGACACTTAAAGTGTACAAGCAATGAACGTATAGGCTACGTTCTTTCTCTCAGCAAAACGAGTTTACCGACAACCAAGGACTTAATGTGACTCAAATAGTGTGTTGCAAAATGGTCCAATACCAAATAAAGAATTCAAAAGCTCTATAAATACAAACAAGGGGATCTTGAAATAGCCAAGAAGGGAAACACATTTTAGGTAGCCAAAACAAACCAAACCGCAGACATATTTATGCAAAGCTAGAAAAGTTAATTTACTTTGCTGGTAAAGTTTGTTTTGTCACAGATTAACAATTTTAAAACAATGTGCTCCAATAGACGCAACAAGTGTAGATTTCAGACCACTATTTGGGTGCCACATGTAGATTGATGCATTCGTTTTTTGACCTAACTTTGTGAAGTAGATTTTAATATGTTCATTTAAAAGGTCCTTTTATTAATAACAACAGAAGATTAAATACATTTAGCGTGGCCGTTCTTAGTTAGTGGAGCAATTTGTCTGGTTCATTCCAATAATGAACAACAAGCTAAATATATTTATGTCAGCAATTTTACGGACTTTTTCAGAGTGCTGACCTTTCAGATTTCTTATTCTTGTAAAAGCTTTTGGCATCAGTACCTAAACATGATGGGAGAGTGCGGTTTTATTTCTAATATATTTCTAAAGTAGGTGGAGGTCAAATAAAAGGTTTAAATGAAATGTGCCACATATGGCAGTAAATGTGGTTACAGTCCCACACTGCACTGTACCTCAAAAGGCCTTTCTCTCAATCCACTCCCTCTTTTGTTTCCTCCCTTATCTGCATAATTACATTAAACTGCTGACAATGGGAGAGGAGAGCTAGCTTTCAATGAACCTTCAATGAACAAATTCTACTTTTTGTTTCACAAAAAAAATCCTGATGAAAATGTAAAAGGTACAAACATACAGATTAAAAACAAGACATTCAAGCAACACACAATTTCATGATTTCAACGATTCATGTCTTTATGTACATTTAAACATAAAAGTAATACTCTACTTCTTAAAGTTTGGCTTAGCCCTCATGGCTGTCCAATTCACACTTAGTTTAATTTACATTACCTAAAGAGATATTCACTAAAGGGAGGACAGTATAAAAGGCAAAACTTCAAGCAGGGGGGATGGGACAGATTAGCCAATGCAAAAATGCAAATATCCTTAAATAAATGGGGCGCTAAAAGCCATGGCCATTGACACCATGTTAGCAGGAGCCGGCGAGTGTCAAAGAATCTAACATGACGCTTCTGTACCTTTCATAAGCAGCCGGGGTGTGGAGTGTGCCTCAACGAGTCCCACTGAAGACCTTAAAGCAGACCACTAAAACACAGCCTATTTCCATAGCAAAAGTCCTTTGGATATCCAAAAGCAGCGTCAAGGTTGAGCGCGACGTGACAGTATTCCTTGTCCTTGTTGCGAGCTAGCAGCTCCCTGGTCATTATAGTCCTGAGTCGGGGCAGCAAAGAAGGATTCCAGGAACTCCAGCGGAGCCAACCTCTCTGTCCTGCACTCAGTGGCTCTGGATACACAAACCCTCCAACTCTCACATACACAATCAGCAGGCCCTCCCCCCGTTCCCCTTGCCCCCTCCCTCTTCTTGGCCATTTGCTCTGTGGGGCGAGAGGGGCATTCTCTCAGGACTCATTCATCTTGGCCCTTGCTGACCCCCTAAGGTGACAGATGCTGTTTTGGAGATGACCATACCGCCGAGCGTGGCACAATAGAGGCGAGACGCCTCCGCACGCCACACGCGTGCTGTGCTCACCACGCACGAAGCGCAGATGCCCCTCTCTCAACATGACACCGGAGACTGCTAAGTGCCATGCTCGCAGATGGGGGTACGACGTAAAGCAAAGGATCGTTTTCTTCCCCTTCTGCCACTCCCTGTTTTATTGGGGTTATTTTACTGATAGGGCACACCAATGGCAAACTAGGGACACTTGCTAAAGAATGTGGGGTCAATCCGCAGTTTGTCCGTCAGCCTTGCCTGAACTCACGGCCCTCCCCTCACTGGAGGTTGAAGATTAACTGAGAATTTAGGCCCATTGTAAATAGCCGAATGGAGAGGACTCATCTGGTCAAAATAACTTGATAGGAGATTGATGTTTTGCACTTTCCTGGATTGATCATTTCCTACCGCGTGCCACAGAGAAGTGGCTCAGAGGAAGTGGAGGAGATTTGAACGCAAATACAGGAGGATCGGGTTCCCCTGGTGCTTCAGGCTCTCTCTAACAATGACTCCATCTCTCTTCTTATCTCCCAAGATAATAGCAAAATATTGTGACTCAGATGACCCTCTCTTTCGGGACCTCTGAAAACAGGAACAGTAATTGGTGGTATTTAAATAAAACAGTACAGCTCCATTTGTGAGCTGGTTCATTACTACTCATTATGGATCTTAACAAAAATCTCGCACTATTCTGACAGTGTTACATCAAGTTTCATCAGTCCGACCTTATCAGATAACTTTAAAGGGTAAATATACACAGTAGATTTAATCAACACAACCGAGATCATATTTTGTCTGCAGCATGTAGTAGGATTTGTTAATAATTAATAACACCCTTGTCCATGGAACAAAAAGGTGACTTGACGCAATGGTTCAAAGAGTGTGCTGAGAACCGCACCAGTGTAATGCATTTGTCAAAGTTAAAGACACAAAGAATTTGTCAGGCAAACAACAAAACAGCCATGTCAACAAACCAATGCATTAGAGGCAAGCACTTGCTACAAAAAAAAACTTGAAAAACATTTAAATAACCTAGCAGGAAATGTACACAACGTGGTAAAAAATTGTATTATTCAGTATTTTTTGTAGACTGAATTGTAGATCATTTTTGGTCAGACTGTACAGTAAATGAGTAGTTTATTCTGTTTTCACAATTCTTGTTGTAGCAAAGACACAACAGTTGGTCTAAATCAAGCCATATACTTCTTCTCACCCTAATAAGAATTAGTAGATAGGGTCTAAAGCAGTATGGGAGTCAGCTTTAAACAATGACATCCCACCCTCAGAGGGCTTTATTAGCCCCCCAGAGTCATTAATGCCGTCATTCCAGCTAATCTGGAGGCTTTGTCTAAACATTGTTTATTTTAATTGCAAGGTTTCTCCTTCAGATACCATTTGGACCACACAATATCCCCAAATGTATAAGGATTTGTGTTCGACAAATGCCTGATATTCGATTTCTGAAACTTTCCCTTTTTTTGTGACAGGCTCTTTGCCAGACTTTTTGTCAAGATCGAAAACCCCCCCAAAAAAAGTACATGAAGATGCAGCACAAGTTCACCCAAAGAGATGATTCAAGTTTCTGCCTTTAACACTATCAGACCTTAATAGGTCACTGGAAAAGGAGAAAGAGAGCAAAGCGGAGGTTTCCTTTGCTCAATTGAGCTTGTGGGTAGAACAAAAGAGTCAGTGAGTGAGCTGGCCCTCCTCTCGCCCATCCTTCAGCACTGCTTTGAGTCTCCAGTCCTGGGCACTGACAATGGGAAGTATCTTTTCCACTGCCACCTGAGAAGAGATGAGTCATGTGGTGGCAGCTCTTTCAACATCTTCTGGAGTTCTGCTTTGTCTTGTTTTCTACTTCCTTTTGAGAAGCCCTCTATTCTCTTGAGGTACAGCAAAACTGCCTCAGTCATTCCAGACAGACAGCATCATTGTTTAGATCCATTGAGACAAATACAACTTGGTGAATCTTTGGACCAACAAAAGCCCAGTTTGAGGTGAACCACAGCAGAACTAATAAGTACAGAATTCAAGTCTTTAGAAATCTAACTTATTCTTGGCTTCTTTCTGGAGAAACACCCAACCCAGATCAAATAGGAAAACATAATCCAAGAGGGGCTACTTAATCTAAATTGGTTTGAGGCCAACCAGAGCAGAAATTCCAACTTTTAGTGGTATGACTTTTGTTCCTGGCTTTCATTCAAAGAACTGCTCAATCCAAATCCAACTGGATAAATGTAATCCAAATATAGGAAACTTAATCTGAATCTGGAACAACAAATGCTCAGATAATCCAAAGCAGAATTAACGAATGCAGAATGACTCTTGTTCTCTGTCTTCTTTCTCACAATCCAGATCCAATGCCACAAATTTAATTCAAATTGAGCAAATTAATCTAAATTTGGACCAACAAAAGCATAGATTGGGGTAAACCAGAGCAGAATTTTGTAAGTGCTGTATCTAAGGAATGGGAAAAAAATGCTTGATTGTCTTATCGAGTGTGGGTTTTTAGAAGTGTGATGAAATCCTCGTCCTCACATGGTTGTAAAAAAACAACTGAACATCACATACACGAGGTGAGAGCGGAACGTGATTTTAACATAGTGACAAATGAGCATCAGCTGGGTAGGAGGGAGAGATTGAGGTGGCAACTGCCACAGCTCATCGTGGTCTTCAGGAGCTATCTACTCAGTGTCAGAAAAAACAAATCCACCCTAACACAGGCCAATTACAACAGCCTGACAATGTCGCTGTCACGTGAAAGCCAATGCTGCCCTGGCACGTTCAGCCTTTCTTACCACATAAGGTCTATCCCGGGCGTGAGGTGTGGGGTCTCACGCCACTTGTCACACCGCTGGCAGGTTGTTGTTCCCTCAGCCCTGCGCTCATTTGCCTATTAAAGCCCTCTCAGACTTCCTGCTGGGGTCCTGAAGTGCAAATCGAGGTTTTTCCAGCGAGGCCAACATAACCAGGGCTGTGGAGATGATAACCTCCTCCACTTGGCCACACGAACTAAAGGGGGGGAAGGGGAGGCTTGGGGGGAGGCAACACAACAAGCTGAAAGCCAAAGCTGAAATCGGCAGAGGAGAGAAAACCCTGACTGGTCAGCGAGGGATTGGCTCAAGGGGGGTGGAGATAACAGCCTGGGGAGAGGATTAGTCCAGCAGTGAACGGGGGTAGTGTTGGGCCAAGGTTAGCCAGGGTTTAAGGGGGTGGAGGCCTGGGAGGATCAACAAAAGGAGTATTTGGGCAGATGAAGAAGTCATCATCATTAAGCCACTGGAAGTTTACTGTCCAGTTATAAAAGTGACTGGAAAATGAGAGGGGCAAGAGGGCAACCCCGAGATACGGTCAGTAGACTACACCGGGGTGGGATCGTGGGAGTGCCGGGCTCATTTCTTAGAGTCAAAAAACGGTCTTTGTGTGACCGAGGCACTGATTTGAGTGTTGACCTTGCCGTACATTCAGCCAGAGTGAGGGCTTTAATTTAACCTTCAGCTAAGTCCTGCATTTAGACAAATGCTTTATGTCAGTAATTAACAAAGGCCCTTCTGAAAACATCCTATTAGTGCAATTCAAGAATACAGGCAAGAAAACTTTGGAAGAATTTGAATTTACAGCACCATATCATTTAATTTATCGGTTTTGATCAACATTAAATATTTTATTGTGCATGCTCATTTTTTCTATTTTCACATTTAGGTTACCTTTGCCATCATATAACGCTCACTTATAGTCAATCTTTAAAAACATCAATAATTTAATAACACTGTTAAATACAATCTTTAGCAAATGATGCATGTGAATGAATGAATATCCATTATCCATCTGTACATTATTTGTGTTATGCTTAAATTAAATGATATAATTTGAGACTATTGATTTTAGTTTTTAAAGAATTTTAACATCAGCCATTTAACAGTTATTGGCCAAAACATGAAATAATTATCAACCAGAACTGGAGTCGCACTGGAGCATTGGAAAAGCATTGGAGTCAAAATTTTTGAGGTGGCTTCATTTAGAAGGCATTCAAAATGATCTGCACAAGTATAAATTCTCAAAGATGGGTGTGTGAATCTTTGAGCGATCCTGCACATCTGGTTAACTGGAAAGGTCAACTACATTTTTACACCTCAAAGCCAAAGTGTTGGTGCCACATGCTCAAACACACCAATATTGGGAGTTATGTGCATGGACATGACTAGTTTTCTTATATAAGGAGTGGATTCTCAACAATAAAACATTGAGCCCCAAGCTTTATTCCAAAATCTATGGTGTCCATGGGAAAATCAAGTGTGCTGATACCATGACAACAAACAAAGAGCTCAATCTGGGTGAAGAACAGCAAGGCTGCTCTGGCCAATAAACCAGAGACCTGCCGATGAACCCAACCCTGCATTTTACAACACAGACCACAGCTGTTATTCACTAGGGACAATAATAGTTCAACTAATGGATTACATTTTTTTTATTTTTTTGGCTATTTGTTAATCGTTTGCCGTTATGTGCATCAGACTGGTGGACATTTGGAAATAGACCATTTTAAGTGTTTATGTTCCAATATAAGTGCTCTTTACTACATTTTGGCTTAAACATTTGGTAAGATCACACATTCACGGATTTACCTCATGGTTCCCAATGGTTTGTTTGTCCTGCTCTTGTTCTCTGGATTAAATTACCTTTATAGTCAGACATTTTTGGTACAGTGTAAAAAAGGGGTCTTGTTTATGGCTTTGTGTCACAT